TCACTCAACCTGGCAACTTGCGAGCGAAATTTCACAGAGAATGGCCGCTCGCCGCGACCCAACTCGAGGCCATCGTCATTCAGGGGCGAACAAGTGCTTCTTATTTTTACTTTTTGTTGCAGGAACCAACATCGGCTATCTTCTCTTTTCTCAACTTTTCTCAACTATTTTGTGGGTACTTTTGAGAGATTTGAGAGCAATTGAAAAAGCTCCATTGAGCTTGGGCTACACTGTACAACTTCTTGTTTAGTATCTGGTTTCGCCGACATCTGTGGGGCCGTCCTCTACACATTACCCGCGTTGACCACGAAAAAAACATTTTAAAGTTATCTTTTAATTAAAAAACATGTACTCGATTCACTTGCTTTGTTTTGAAAAAACTGCATGTGCCTGTATTTCCTAGGCTTTGGCTCCGCACCGCTTTGGCTCCGCACAGCACATAAGTTTCTAATTGGAAACATCGTGGTCAGAGCCATCAATTGCCCTAGAAAAACTACTATTGAGCAAATTTCAAGTGCTCCCCCAACTGCCTTAGTACCTTTTCGTTGTGTTTTGCGAGCTTTTCTCGTTATCGTTGTTACTTGGAATAAATTTATAAAATATTGTTCGATGATGAAGTTACTGTTTGAAGCAGTTGTCGATTTCTTGTTTGGTTGACTTATTTGTGACTTATTCTAGCTTTATTTGTACCTCATTTTCACTATTTCCGAACATTTCCGGTATCCGTAAAGCACCTCTTTATGTCAAAACAAAATCTAATGTTTTTATTTGCAGGTGAGAGTCATGCGGTTCGAAATGAAGAATTTGACGTCATTTCCAATGGAGAAGTTGTGCTTCGATTTGAAATTGGAAGCGTTGGAACAAATGGAACCAAAGGATGTGTATGAGTTGGCCAAGGTGAATCACGGATTCCAAGGGATGCTCGTGAGGCGTCCGTCGATCGTTTTTGGAGAGCACGTTTATCGTATTCAATTATGCTATGGGACGATTTGGACCTCAATTATTTGTACCTCATTTTCACTATTTCCGAACATCGATCAAGAAAGAAGCGCATATCTACGGCACAGCTTTCAGTGATCAAGTGAACAAGGACAGGATCGAGAATTTTATGGTGGGACCTCAACTCAAGGATTGCGAGAAGATTTGGTTTGACTGTGTTTCTGAAGATTCAGTTCGCATTTTCTACAACGCCTTGTTGAAGGCTGAAATCAAAAACGTTGCAATACAGTCTTATACACCGCGCTGCACTGATTTTATTATTCAACAGATCACCACCAATGGAATCCCGAGCAAGCACCTTGAGGCTGCTATCTACATTACTTCTGAATTTGGTCTCGAGCGGGATCTGTCACAATATCCAGGGATGCGACGAATCGATGGAGAGAATCGTCTTCGACTTCTCAAACAGACGAACTACCTTGCAAGGAATTTTGAATGGTGTCGTTCTGATGGTTCTGATGTCATCATAAAAGAAAGCTCAATTTTCCGTCGACGTTTTGATTCAGGAAAGGACTGCATCTACGGGTACGACTACGAAAACGACGACGGAGGTTTTCATCATTTCTTGGCCTTCTACGTCTCCATCGATTAGAATTATTAAAATCACTCTTTAATGATTCATCGTATATTTTTGTGACTTTCTATCATTGTTTCCGTTTTTAAATTGATAGTTTATTGGTCTTTTATCTGCTATATTTTGCGGCTTTTCATTTATCCAAAATAAAGTTTTAAAATCTTTTGTGAGATGAAAAGGAAGCGATTTGATATTCTAATTGTCTAGTTGTCTAAGAAGTCTAATTGGCTGTGAGAGGGTCATTGGTAATGATTCATTGGTAATGTCTGATTGGCTGTGAGAGCGTTCCGAAGTGGTCGAATTTTCTGATAATTTCTGGTAAATTATTTTTCTACAGGGTGTCCCAAAATTATGGTTACGAAATAACGTAAAAGTTTTCGACTTTATTTACATAGCAAAAATCAGCTGATAAGGAAAAATTTATTCTAAACAATTTAATTAACAATAAAAACAACATTTAAATCTCAAAATGGCCTCCTTTAGCAGCTATGCATTTCCTTAGTCGTTTTGGAAAGTCATTAATGGCCTTTTCAATGGTAGACAAAGGAATCTCGTTCCAAGCTTTGATCAAATCCTTTTTCAATGAGTCAATTGTTGTGTGAGCTTTTGCACAAGCTTTGCTTTCAAGAATGGACCAGATAGAATGGTCTAAGAAGTTTAGGTCAGGGCTGTTTGAAGGCCATTCGCCCGGACGTTGTTGGCTGATATCCACTGTGATCCAGTCAGGAAAGTTGTTTGAGATCCATTCTTGTGTAACAGCTGCTTTGTGAGATGGAGCTCCATTCTGTTGATAAGTCCAGCTATTCGCGCCAAAATGAGCTTGAGTCCAGGGTAAAACATTATTTTTGAGCATATTGATATAAGCGATTTTATCGATTTTGACTCCTGGTGGAATGAAGATTAAAGGAGTTTTTCCGCTGTGAGTTACTCCGGCTCATATCATAACTTGTGGCGGCTTTTGTTGTCTTGACACAATTCTATCATCAAGAGGTAGTGGATCCTTTGACCAAACACGATCGTTTTAATGGTTATGGGCTTGCTCCATATCAAACCACTTCTCGTCTGTGAAGAGAATTCCTTGATGGCGATTTGAGCCAAAGCGTCTCAGAAGCTGCTTGCACCGGGAAAATCGTTTTGCTTTCATAACGTCCGTCAATAAATGGCCTTTGACACCTTTTCTGGCTTTCATGCCGGCTGTTTTGAGCATACGATGAACACAACTCTTGCCGATTCCGACAGATTGCGCGAGTTTTCGAACGGAGTTCTTGGACGAATTCGGACTTCTTTTGAGCCGTTTAAAAACTTTTCGTCGTTTTGCAGAAACATTGGCAGTCTTCTTTCGACCGCGTCCCGAGCGATCTTCATTTGATCCCGTTTCCTTGTATCGCTTCACTGCGCGGGACACATTCATTTTCCCCTCCTGCAAGATTCGCGAAATTTCAGCGTTGGTTTTTCCCCGTTGGTGGAGGGAAATTATAGCTGGTCGATTTCATACCTGAAAATAGATAAATTAGTACAATGAAACCAAAAAGTAAGAAAAAAAAAACCAGTAAAATAAAAAAAAAGGCAAATAGAGTGCGCGTAACCATAATTTTGGGACACCCTGTATTAGTCTACGATCAAAAAAAGGCAATCATGATCATACAGCGGTTGTTAGACAAAATAAAATAGTCCTAAGAAGCCTAAAGCGAAAAACTTGCACTTTTCGGACAAGAAAGATACTTTTAAAGATTGATTTATTTACATTAAAACATGCTTTTAATGATTTATTGATGGGCATTCTTTAATTTCAGTATAAGACACACAAAAACAAGTAAAATGACATTGAAAACAGTAATCATCAGACTATATCAGACTAGTAAAAAGATTAAAATGAATCACATCGTTGAACTTGGTAATAACATTACTAAACATCGTGAAGCTAATAAAGCTTTTAAAAAGCGATCATTTCATTGGGGTGGCGTGTAGAAGGTGAAAAATAGTAATCATCGTCCTCATCATCAATATGAAATAAGTTAAGTTAAAAAGCGTTGCGTTGATTACTTGGCTATAGGGAAGGCAACAAAACACCCACAGGGGACTTTAGAAAGCTTTCTAAAAGCAAAAGCATTTCGATCAAAAGCCAAAAACAAACTCACCAACTTCCGCGATTCGGCGCTTCGACTGATATGGCCGAGGAGTGGCGGGCGATAGTGTGGCGGAGTGGCCGATGTGTCGGTGTCGTGGCTGAGCTTGCGTTGTACTCGAAATTCAGGGGTGTCGGCAGCACCATCTCTGAAAACAAAACCCTATATACAGGTTGATAAGTGGTTCTCTTTTTAGATAGCAGAGAGTAATAAGTTTATCTTTCTTTCTTAGCTTTGCCTTTTGTCTACTATATCTGTTGCTTCATTTTCCTGAAATCATTTTGTCATCTAATTATCTGATCTAATTATCTGATCTAATTATCTGATCTAATTAGCTCACCTAATTAGCTTTACCATTATTTGGATGTAGGGTGAATAAAGAGTTTAAAATTTCGTGTAAAGATTTTTTAACGGATGGCTGATTATTGACGGGAGATATCTAAACCAATAAATTTGGTGCAGCGATGTTTTCTGTATTCGGAATCACGTATGATTATGAAAAAGTCGGAGTGTTTATAGATTGAATTTATAGGTTGAAGTGTTTATAGTGTTTATAGATTAGTGTTTTTTTAACATGAATGCAAGTTCTAATTTTGCTTATTTTCTGGTAAAAGAATGCTCAATTGACGGTCAATCAAGGAGGAAATCGTTGATGAAAGTGGAGATGGTGGCGAAGAAAGTGCATCGAATACGGGAATACAAGCTACCTATTCTGCCTCAAAAATCCCCGCTTTTCACGCGTTTTCTGAAATGGACGGCCCAACAGTGCACTCTGAAATATTATCATAGACTTTAAGGAGATCAAAACAAATTATTATAAATAAAAAGTAGCCACACTACCGATTTCTGGTGAAATAAATAAATTAAGAAGTCCCATTACAGGTATTTTGGTGATTTTGAGTCTTCGACCATCACATGACCCCCTCATGATATATATATCGATGAAATTTTCAAAAAACTAACTTTGTGTCAATGTGTAACCACTGAAGCAAAACCAATTCTGAAACCACAATATGCCATCAAAATATCAAAAAGTTTCAGGTACGCCAAGTGAGCCACTTTTTTTATGGACCATCCTGCATATGCAATGTCTCAATTTCTGGAAGAAAAGTGAAAATATTCAGTTAATGAAATGAATAGCATTAACCTGCCTTAAGAAGGTATAAATAAATGTTTTATACAAAAGTTTTCACAATATTTTTGGAGCTGCTCTTGGGTGGTTGTTTTTATTAAGTTACTATTTATGCTTCTCCATTTTTTCCATTATCAACGCATTCAGTGTCCATTTTTAGGGCCATCACATGTTCGTTGATGTCGGGCCTCTCTCTTCCCTCGTCAATCACCGCTTGTCGTTTTGCTTGTCATCTTCGCGCTTCTCTTCATCGATTCTACAAGTGGGTTACTCGGGCATTAGCACGTAAGGGATTAAGCCTAACAAGGAAGAAGTATGGGTAGATCTGCGTTGCTTTGTTGATGTTAGAAGTAGGCTTATGGTTGCCAGAAGTGGAGTTGAGCCGATTTGGCGCTCTTAGAAGTAGCAAAACCATTTCAGCACTGAAAATGTTGACTCTTTTAAGCAGTATCAGCACTATTTAAATTATTCTCATGTTTAGCCACACTACCGCGAATGCACATCACGATGCCGAAAAGAACAGCGATGCCCACAACAATTGAACCAACGTTTTGGGCAGGCAGCCATGTTTTCGGTGAGTTTTTTTTCTTTGATACGCATAACTAATCAACTCATTTAGATTTAGAAATTTAGCACGTGGGCGACTATTCGAATCGCCCAACCTGAAGCCGGCGAAATCTCACAGAGAATGGCCACTCGCCGCCACCCAACTCGGAACAATCGTCATTCGGGTGCGAACAAATGTTTCGTATTTTACTTTTTGTTGCAGGAACGAACATCGGCTATCTTCTCTTTTCTCGACTTCGTCACGAGGTATCTCTTTTGGCAACAACTTGGCTGGCGGTGAAATATTCAAAAGAAACAGATCTGGTGGGGATACAATGTCGTAAGAATGATCGCTTGGTTGGCGTTTAAAGTTTCAATCAAAATATTTTGCCTTTAGGTTCTCGTCGACGGTTTTTCATGGTGTCGATTGTTGGGTGACCGAATGGATCGATTATTTTGTGGGTACTTTTGAGAGATTCTTGAAGGCAATTGAATATGATCAGTTAAGCTTGGGCTACACTGTACAACTTTTTTGTTTAGTATGTGATTTCGCCGACATCTGTGTGTCATCAAGTGGATGTCCTCTACACATTACCGTTGACCACGAAAAAAACGTTTTTAGGTTAAGTTTTCGATTAAAAAGCATGTACGCGATTAACTTTCTTTGTTTGGAAAAAACAAAGAAAGTAAACTGCATGTCCCTATATCTCCTAGGCTTTGGCTCCGCACCGCAGAGGCACATAAGTTTCTAATTGAAAGCATGACTTAAAAATGTCTTGTTCGTGATCAGAGCCATCAGTTACCCTAGAAAAACTACATTTGAGAAAATTTCAAGTGCTCCCCCAACTGCCTTAGTACCTTTTCGTTATATTTTGCTAGCTTTTCTCGTTATCGTTGTTACGTTGAATAAATGTATAAAATATTGTTCGATGATGAAGTTACTGTTTGAAGCAGTTGTCGTTTTCTTGATTGGTTGACTTATTTGTGACTTATTCCAGCGTTATTTGTATCTCAATTTCACTATTCGCTAACATTTCCGTTATCCGTAAAGCGCCTCTTTATGTCAAAACAAAGTCTAGTCTTTTTATTTATAGGTGGAAGAATGGCGTCAATCGAAATGAAGAATTTGAGGTTATTTCCAATCGAGAAGTTGTGTTTCGATTTGAAGTTAGAAGCGTTGGAACAGATGGAACCAAGGGATGTGTGTGAGTTGGCCAAGGTGAATCAAGGATTCCGAGGGATGCTCGTGAGGGATCCGTCAATCGTTTTTGGAGAGCACGTTGATTGTATTCGAATCGAAAATGAGAGGATTCGGATCAACAAATTTTCGAATTCATATGCAATGGAGCTCAATGTCGATCATCCCTTTCACTTTTCTTTCGTTGGGAAGATCCGATCGTGCCATGACTTGTCGTGCTATGATTCTCATCAATTCTACGGGAAATATACACTTCTGAAGAATTTGAAGTTGGTGAATCGATTGGGGCTCCGATGGAAATCAAAAGAAGCACTGAAGGGATTCTTCGCAAATTTCCACGCATCGATCAAGAAAAAAGCATCACTGGATATCGGCTACAGTGCTCTCAATGATCAAATGATGAAAGATTGGATCGAGAAATTTCTGGTGGGACCTCAACTCAAGGATTGCGAGAAGATTTCGTTTCACTGTCGTACTGAAGATTCAGTTCGCTTTTGCTACAACGCCGTGTCGAAGTCTCAAATCAAAAACGTTTATATGCTTATTCATTCAGGGGATTGCTTTCGTTTGATGATTCAACTGATCAGCACCAATGGAATCCCGAGCAAGAACCCTGAAGCTGCTATTTGCCTTCGGGCATATAGCTTTGCCTCCAGGATAGATCTCTCACAATATCCAGGAATGCGAGGAATCGACGGAGAGAATCGTCTTCGACTTCTCAAACAGGCGAACGATCTTGTGAGGAATTCTGGACATTATCTCGGTGATGGTGCCTTCATGGAAGAAAGCTCAGTTTTCCGTCGACATTTTGATTCAACCAAGGACTGCATCTACGTGTACGACGAAACAAAACCTAATAGAGTCTTGGCCTTCTACGTCCCCATCGATTAAAGTGATTAAAATCACTCTTTCATGATTCATTGTATCTTTTAGTCGCTTTTATCATTGTTTCCATTCTTTCAATTGACAGATTATTGGTCTTTTATCTGCTATATTTTGCTGCTTTTCATTTATCCAAAATAAAGTTTTAAAATCTTTTGTGAGATTGAAAAGAAAATGGTTTCATATTTTCTGTACTTTTTAAAAGTCTAATTTGACGAAAATTCACTTTTCGAGAAATTTTGTAAAAATTTCATTTTTTTGGAAGCTTTCGAGGTGCGTGAGCTGTGGCTGTCGGGCCGCCGTTGGAGTCGATGGGGAGAGATGAGTCGATGATCACAAAGTGGAGATGAATGGAAAGGGAAGAATGGGGGAAACGATTAGCCGCTCTCTGTCAGATCCCCTTCAATCCCTGCATGAAGACGATGAGCTGTCGAATAAAAGGAAAATCGAAGTTTTTGGAAATGTAAAAATTTGAAAAATTTGAGAAAATGTAAAAAAATGTCATTTTTGCTTGGGAACATTCTGCTTATAAAAGTTTAACATTATTGGAATGGAACTATATGGTTTAATCCCAGTTAAACAGGTCATTGATTTTTTGCTGATCAATCATACAAATGACTTGATGTCGCCAATCCATGTAAAATTTATATAAAGTCCTTTGTCAAATTGCTCTTCAGGCCTTAAATATCGAAACGGTTTTCTCGCAATTTTGCAATGTGTCATAAAAAAGGGCTAAAAACTGAAAATTCAGAGAGGGGGACACTATATGCAATGTATAAAATAGCAGGCGCATCCTGCACAGAAAAGTGAAAGTGAAAATATTCAGTTAAATCAATAGGATTAAACTGGCTCAAGAAGGTATAAATAAATGTTTTGCGCAAAAGTTTGCACAATATTTTTGGAGCTGCTCTTAGGTGGTTGTTTTTATTAAATTGCTGATTTTGCTTCTCGATTTTTGCATTCTTTCTATTATTTACGGAACACAATGTGCATTTTCAGGGCCATCACATGTTCGTTGATGTCGGGCCTCTCTCTTCCCTCGTCAATGACCGCTTGTCGTTTTGCTTGTCGTCTTCGCGTTTCTCTTCATCGATTCGACATAGTGGGTCACTCGGGTATTGGCACGTAAGTGGTTAAGCCTAACTAGGAAGAAGTATGGGTAGATCTGCGTTGTTTTGTTGCTGTTAGAAGTAGGCTTATGGTTGCCAGAAGTGGAGTTATGCTCGATTCTGCGCTCTTAGAAGTAGCAAAACCGTTTCAGCACTGAAAATATCGACTCTTTTAAGCAGTATCAGCACTATTTAAATTATTCTCATGTTTAGCCACACTACCGCGAATGCACTTGACGATTCCGAAGAGAACACCGATGCCCACAACGGTTGAACGAACGGCAGACAGCCGGAGAGTTTTCGTGTTTTCGGAGAGTGTTTTCGGAGAGTGTTTTCGGAGAGTTTTTTTTCTTTTACACGCGTGACTAATCAACTCATTTAGATTTAGAAATTTAGCATGTGGGCGATCATTCGAATCACCCAACCTGGCAACTGGCCGGCGAAATTTCACAGAGAATGGCCGCTCGCCGCCACCCAACTCGAGGCAATCGTCATTCAGGTGCGAACAAATGTTTCTTATTTTACTTTTTGTTTCAGGACTCTTTTGGCAACAACTTGGCTGGCGATCAAATATACAAAAGAAACGGATCTGGTGGGGATACGGCGTTGTCGAAATGATTGCTGGGTTGGCGTTTAAAGTTTCGATCAAAATGTTTTGGCTCTAGGTTCTCGTCGACGATTTTTCATTGTGTCGATTGTTTGGTGACCGAGCGGATCGACGATTTTGTGGGTACTTTTGAGAGATTTGAGGGCAATTGAAAATGCTCCATTAAGCTTGCGCTACACTGTACAACTTTTTGTTTAGTATCTGGATTCGCCGACATCTCTGTTGCCGTCCTCTACACATTACCTGCGTTGACCACGAAAAATATTTTTAAGTTAAGTTTTCGATTAAAAAGCATGTACGCGATTAACTTTTTTTGTTTTGAAAAAACTGCTGTTGCTGTATGTTGCTGTATTTCCTAGGCTTTGGCTCCGCACCACAAAGGCATATCAGTTTCTAATTGAAAACATGCCTTAGAAATGTTTTGTTCGTGATCAGAGCCATCAATTACCCTAGAAAAACTACATGGGGCAAATTTCAAGTGCTCCCCCCAACTACCTTAGTACCTTTTCGTGATGTTTTGCTAGCTTTTCTCGTTATCGTTGTTACGTTGAATAAATGTATAAAATATTGTTCGATGACGAAGTTACTGTTTGAAGCAGTTGTCGATTTCTTGATTGGTTGACTTATTTGTGACTTATTCTAGCTTTATTTGTACCTCAATTTCACTATTTCCGAACATTTCTGGTATCCGTAAAACACCTCTTTATGTCAAAACAAAATCTATTTTTTTTTTATTTATAGGTTAGAGTCATGCGGTTCGAAATGAAGAATTTGACGTCATTTCCAATGGAGAAGTTGTGCTTCGATTTGAAGTTGGAAGCGTTGGAACAAATAGAACCAGGGGATGTGCTTGAGTTGGCCAAGGTGAATCAAGGATTCCAAGGGATGCTCGTGAGGGATCCTTCGATCGTTTTTGGAGACCACGTCCATAAGATTGAATTCCATGAGGGGATTTGGATCGGTGAATTTTCGATCTTAGATGAAAGAGAGCCCAATGTCGATCGTCCCTTTTCTCACTTCTCTTTCGTTAAGAAGATCCGATCTTGCGATCGCTTGTCGATCTGGAATTCTCATCGATTCAACCAGAAATATAGATTCCTGAACAATTTGAAGTTGGTGAATCAATTGCTCATGATTTGTCAATCAAAAGAAGAACTGGAGAGATTCGTCTCAAATTTCCACGCATCGATCAAGAAAGAAGCACATTTGTATATCGGCTACAGTGATTTCGATGATCCAGTGATCAAAGATCGGACCGAGAATTTTATGGTGGGACCTCAACTCAAGGATTGTGAGCAGATTAGTGTTAACTGTCTTACTGAAGATTCAATTCGCTTTTGCTATAACGCCTTGTTGAAGACTGAAATCAAAAACGTTGCTATGCTTTCAGCGCGTGGCGTTGATTGGCTTATTCAACAGATCATCACGAATGGAATCCCGAACAAGAACCCTGAGGCTGCTATTTTGGCTAGTCAGATCTTTGACTTCACGATGGATCTCTCACAATATCCAGGAATGCGAGGAATCGATGGAGAGAATCGTCTTCGACTTCTCAAACTTGCGAACTATATTGTGGGGAATTTTGTAAATTCATATTATGCTTCTGCTTTCTCCATGGAAAAAAGCTCAGTTTTCCGTCGACATTTAGATTCAACCAAGGACTGCATCTACGTGTACGACGAAACAAAACCTAATAGAGTCTTGGCCTTCCACGCCCCGATCGATTAAAGTGATTAAAATCACTCTTCATGATTCATTGTATCTTTTAGTCGCTTTTATCATTGTTTCCATTTTTTCAATTGACAGATTATTGGTCTTTTATCTGCTATATTTTGTTGCTTTTCAATTATTCAAATAAAATTTTAAAATCTTTTGTGAGATGAAAAGGAAGCGATTTGATATTATCTGTACTTTTTAAATGGCTGTGAAAGTGTCATTGCGTTCCGAATTTGTCAAATTTTTAAGGAAATCTCTGGTAATCTTTTTCTCAACACTTTTACTCTGTGAAAGCTGTAATTTGCGAATTTTTCCATTTCAAAATCTTTCAAATCTATATTTTACGATAAAAACAAGCATCAAAAATGGAAATTTTGCAAAATTCGAGAAAAATTCGTTAAGGCGACACCGAAAATGAGAGAAATTTGACGAGAAATGACTTTTCGAAAAATTTTATGAAAAATCCATTTCTTTTTGAAAATTTCGAGTTACGTGAGCAACAGAATGAAGGAAAAATTGAAAGGTTTTTGGAAATCTTTTAATTGCGTCGAGAAATCAAGCTGAACTCTTCAGCGGCTGCAATTCGACGGTTTTCGCCGTCTCCCCGCCGTACTTTTGCAGTTCCCACACTCGCAACTTGCGCAATGGGATGCAGATGAGACCTGGAGATTGAGTTTCTTGTATTAAAATGCAAATTTTCTTATTTGCTTCCCGTCAAAACTCAGTCAATTCGCATTTTGTGTGATTTTTATCGCTTCGGAGAAACGAAAGATATTTTAATTTCTTGACAAAACGACGTTTTTACAGTATTATTGCACGTTCCATAATTTATAAATCCAGTATAATATTTGAAATCTATATTTCTCAGCCAATAAAGTCATCAAGACGCCCGTAGAACGTAAATGGTTGAGCCTAATTAGGAAAAGGTAGGGGTAGATTTGCGTTGCTTTGTTGCTGTTAGAAGTAGGCTTATAGTTGCCAGAAGTGGAGTTAAGCTCGATTCTGCGCTCTTAGAAGTGGCAAAACACTTTAGCACTGAAAATATTGACCCTTTTAAGCAGTATCAGCACTATTTAAAATTATTCTCATGTTTAGCCACACTGCCGCGAATGCACTTCACGATGCCGAAAAGTACACAATGGTCCATAACGATTGAGCGAGCCCGTTTGGAGCAGGCAGCCATGTTTTTGGTGAGTTTTTTTGCCACGCATAACTAATCATCTCATTTAGATGCAAATACGATTGCATGTAGGCCACTAATGCGACCATTCGAATCACCCAACCTGGCAACTTCACAGAGAATGGCCGCTCACCGCGACCCAACTCGGGGCCATCGTCATTCAGGTGCGAACAAGTGCTTCTTATTTTTACTTTTTGTTGCAGGAACCAACATCGGCTATCTTCTCTTTTCTCAACTTCGTCACGACGTACATTTGGCAACAACTTGGCTGGCGATCAAATATACAAAAGAAACGAATCTGGTGGGGATACAGTGTTGTCGGAATGATTGCTTGGTTGGCGTTGAAAGTTTCGATCAAAATGTTTTGGCTCTAGGTTCTCGTCGACGATTTTTCATTGTGTCGATTGTTCGGTGACCGAGTGGATCGACTATTTTGTGGGTACTTTTGAGAGATTCTTGAAGGCCATTGAATATGATCAATTAAGCTTGAGCTAAACTGTACAACTTTTTGTTTAGTATGTGATTTCGCCGACATCTGTGTGGCATGAAGTGTACGTCCTCTACACATTACCGTTGACCACGAAAAAACATTTTTAAGTTAAGTTTTCGATTAAAAAACATGTACTCGATTCACTTGCTTTGTTTTGAAAAAAACTACATGTCCCTATATTTCCTAGGCTTTGGCTCCGCACCGCAGAGGCACACAAGTTTCTAATTGAAAGCATGACTTAAAAATGTTTTGTTCGTGATCAGAGCCATCAATTACCCTTGAAAAACTACTATTGAGCAAGTCTCAAGTGCTCCCCCAACTGCCTTAGTACCTTTTCGTTATGTTTTGCTAGCTTTTCTCGTTATCGTTGTTACGTTGAATAAATTTATAAAATACTGTTCGATGATGAAGTTACTGTTTGTAGCAGTTGTCGATTCCTCGATTGGTTGACTTTTTCAAGCTTTAACCTTTGTAGATCCTTTACGGCCTGGCTATCCCAAGCCAATTTCACTATTTCCTAACATTTCCGTTATCGGTAAAGCGCCTCTTTATGTCAAAACAAAGTCTAATCTTTTTATTTATAGGTGGAAGAATGAAAGAAAAAAAAACAAAAAAAAGAAATTCAAATACGTATCATAAATCAATGGTGTTCATGTACAAGATCTCGTATAAAACTGTTCCTATGTGACTCATAAGTCTACGTAAAATTGATCTTAAACCACAATTTTCGTGTTCTTTTCAATCCCAATTCTGAGAATTATTACTTAATTTTCACCTTTAAAGGGTCAATTTTGCCAAGATCGAGCAGAGAGCAACCAAAAAAAAGTTTCACGAGACATTATTGCACTGAAATTCTTGAAATGACTTTCCTTTTATTTTAAAAGACCAAAGATACCCTTGCACCTGCTAGCTTTCACTATTTCTCTTCCAAAACTTCAATTCCTTTCCAAAACTTGAATTTCTTTCCAAATTCATGCAATAAATGACCGACTACGAATATCCATCGACTTTTCTCATTGTCTCAAGTATTATCGGCCACCTCGGAGCTGTTCTAAACATTTATACACTGATTGTGATACTGATCGCAACGCCGAAAAATATGAAGAGATATAAGTATTATCTTCTAATCATGCAGGTAGTTCTTGATGATTTATGAAGTCACAAATCGATGGTAAACTAGAGCTTAACTAACAACTGGCAAGGCTCTGATCGGCAAGGCTCTGATCGGCAAGGCTCTGATCGGCAAGGCTCTGATCGGCAAGGCTCTGATCGGCAAGGCTCTGATCGGCAAGGCTCTGATCGGCAAGGCTCTGATCGGCAAGGCTCTGATCGGCAAGGCTCTGATCGGCAAGGCTCTGATCGGCAAGGCTCTGATCGGCAAGGCTCTTATCGACTCCTCAATGAGGAGTTTTACCATATACAGTCGAACCTCTCTATAACGTAACTCACGGGACGGCTATAGCTTACGTTATATAGAGGTTTACGTTATATAGAGTGCCGTTTTATATAGCTTAACGTCGGCCGGGACCGGTCACGCCTTACGTTATAGAGAGGTTTACGTTATATCGAGGTTCGTTATAGAGAGGTTCGACTGTAATTTCGATTAGTTATCAATTAAAAACAGTGATTCAGTTCTTCTCAACAATCTTCGATCTATTGCTTAATTTACTCAAAGTCGAAATCTATCTCCCAGCAATGGCGTGTCGCTTTTATGGAATATTTTATACGATTTTTGGTATGAGTGTCACTTGGGCCATGGTTGGAGTTTGAAAAATTGTCAAAGATTGCATTCAACCCTTCGCTAAAACATAAGCTTGCTTAAGAAACGTAAAAGCCTTCCATTACTATGAGTAAACCAATAAATCGTGTGAGGTCAAGCTTACAAAGCTTTAGTTTCTCGGGTTCATCTCAATTTGGGGAATGGTTGGTGGAACGACGGCTTGTTTCCTCTTTCGACATGAACAAGTCCTTCCACCAGATCATTGGATCAAGTCGAACTACCCTCTTCTGCTAATCTAGTTTCGTTTTCAGATTAGGAGTGTCAAAATGGACCTGGATTCTTGTCGCCCATGGTGTGCCGTATGTCGGCGGCGGTTTATATGGGATTTGGTCATTCCCATTCGAGCATCCACCAAATGCGAGCGGGTTGCCGAAGTTGATCGAGGTATAACAGAATTCTTCCAACTAAAAGCCTCAAAATCTCAAAATTTCCACTGTTCATCTATAATAATAATAATAATACTTTATTCAAACGATAAAGTGAAAGAAATCATAGAGAAATGCACAGTGATACTTAATCATACAATACATACTGAAATCAATAAGCCAATTACTTACGGCAAAGAGCCACTAGATCTAAAGCATCGATACGTTTCTTGAATATGAAAAGCGACTGAATTTCTCGTATGTCGTTTGGGAGCAAGTTCCATAATCTAGCGGCTCTAACGGGAAATGAATTTGATAAAGAGGCATTGGAAGCAAAGGGAATTTGCAAAAGGAATGAGCCACTTCTGGGCCCTGACCGCGGTTTAAATTTGAAAAAGTCTATAAACAAAGGGCTAATCTGTTTACAACGGAGGATTTTGAAAGTTTCGACTAAATCAATGACAAAGCGACGATGCTGTAAAGTTTTTAGTTCAAAAAAAGCAAGCATATCTAACTAAAAACCTTGTCAAAACATTTAATCAATGTTTCCCTTGTAAAGGAAAATAGTGTGCCCTTGGAAATCTCAAAAATTGGGACTAGTTTTGAATAAAACCGTTCACGAACGCCCATAGTTTTGCATAACAAGTCTAAGAGCAAAATAAAGTCGAAATACAAGCAACAATTTTAGGCGTACCCCCAAAATGCCTATCTCCAATATGAGACTGACACATGGATCGGTGACCCAAACGCTCTTCTAAGTCCACCAATTTTCGATTTAACTTGTGTACAATTATTGTTGTATTCGGCATTATGTCCAAGTGTCGAAATCCCTATTGTGGTTGGTTAATTTACAATAATCCTTCTACTCGAATCCTGATCAATTAACAGAATAGGGTATCAACTAGACTTGACTATTGAGAGCTTATCAATCTCGAGATCTCGAGAAGTTTTCCAAAATCTAATCTTCAAAATCTTTCAAATTCCAGAATTCCAAAATGTCGCAGCCGATTTTGAAATTCAGCCGATTCAGAAACGGCTAGTCGATTTTGAAATAAACTTTCATTTTTTCACCCTTCCTTTTCCTTAATGATTGTCGATATCTACAAAATGACATCAAAATCATAAAGATTAAACTATTAGGTTGATGCATAAGTCTTTTCGTTTTTTTCGTACTTCTGTTAAAAAGTAACAAATTCACCAAGTTTTTTTTGGATTTTAAAGAGACTGTAATTCTCATCTTCGTAAAGTATCTAGCCATTAATCTAGCCAACCATTAAGAATACTTTTATTCTGAAATATCTGGATTTGTTAGCTGAATACTTATCTTCAATAGTAGCCCAACTTCTATTCATTGAATTCCCTCTTCCCCAGCTCTTCCTATGGCCTCTCCTGAATAGTTACCATTAAGAATACTTTTATTCTGATATATCTAGATTTGTTAGCTGAATAGTTATCTTCATTTGATCTTCCCCTATCAGATTCAACTTCTATTCATTGAATTCCCCTTTTCCCAGCTCTTCCCATGGCCTCTCCTGAATAGTTAGCATTAAGAATGCTTTTATTCTATCTAGATTTGTTATCTATTAGGTTGATGCATAAGTCTTTTCGTTTTTTTCGTACTTCTGTTAAAAAGTAACAAATTCACCAATTAATCTATAGTTTGCTCTATAAAAAAAGTGTTTTTTGTTCAATTTGCATCTTTTTAAATGAATTTCGGTTCACTTTCAAGCAAATTCGAGAGTGAAAAACGCCTTTTTCATAAAAATCTATAAAAACTCTACGGAAAAATCGGCTGAATGAATTTCTCTGAAATTTTGGCGAAATATCAAACTTTTTTTTCTCTATCTTTTTTATCTATTGACACGAAGATAGGTTTTCTTTAGCTAAGGTGTCTAAACCGCATCATCGAGTTAGCCCTTTTTGACTACCCGACTTCATACTCTCAAGAAAATCCAGGCATAAAATATTTTTAAACCCGTTTTAATGTTATTTTGCAGAAAAATAATTGACTTTTCTAATGAAATCAACCGTAGTTTAATTGGTGCTTTAATTTTAATTTGTTGGCTTGAAACGGCAGACGAAAAGGAACGAAAAGACTTATGCATCAACCTAATACAAAATGACATCAAAATCATAAAGATTAAACTACTTAAAAAAAAAGTTACGGCGAATTGCGCAAAGTAGCCATCCGCATTTTAAACCTATAGATAACAAAATTATGTAAAAAAAACAACGCGAAGATCATTAAGGACAACCAGGAGTAAGAAAAAATGGAAGTTTATTTCAAAATCGGTATCTGAAACAGCCAGTGAAAGAATTGATTTCAAAATCGGCTAACCGTTTCTGAAGCGGCTGAATTTCAAAATCGGCTGCGACATATACAGTCATGGACAAAAGTCTTTACCCCGACCGAGGTCAGCTTTTAAAACGCAAAATTTTTCAACTTTTTAACAAGTTTTAAAAATTGTTTTCAAAGTATTTTGTAGCATTTTTACTCTAGTTTTTATATCCCATAACCAAAAGAAACAACGATTTATTTTAGGCAACAAAGAACGACGTTAACAAAAAAAAACCCTCAAAACAGGTGGACAAAAGTCTTTACCCCTTTTCAACTTTTTATTTTCTTGCTGTTGTTTCGTTATTTTTCACATAACAATGCTTTATTATTTTTTAATTCTAGTGATGCCTGGAGCCTATCTGACCACTCCCGACAAAGAAAAGATTATGGAAGCAAGGAAACGAGGCGACAAAGTAAAGGATGTTGCGAGCGTATTCAAATGCAGCCCCGAAACGGTGAAAAAGCTTTGCAAGAAAGAAAAAACGACTGGAATTCTTCACCGAGCATTCAAAACAGGTCGTTCACCCGTCACAACACCAAGAGAAGACAAGGTTCTAATTTTGGCCCACAAAAAGGATCCAAGTCTTAATGCTTCCGATGGAGTCAGATTAATCAAGCATCAATTTAACAAGGACATCAATCGAAAGACAGTAAGCAGCCGTTTGATTCATGCAGGATTGATGACTAGAAGACCTGCCAAGAAGCCCCTGATGGTCGCCAAACACCGGAAGATTCGACTCGACTTTGCCGAGAAGTATGAAAGTTGGACAAGCAACGACTGGGCCAATGTCATCTTCACCGATGAATCGAAGATCAACCTTTTCAATCCCGACGGCAATCATTTGATCCGGAGACCTGTCGGACAACTATATAGCACCAAATACCTTCGTGCGACAGTCAAATTTGGTGGCGGATCAATCATGTTGTGGGGTAAGAAACTTTTATCTTTATGCCTATTGACTTTTTTTTCAGGAGCGATGACTAGAAGTTCACCAGGTCCACTCGTTCTTCTCAATTCAACTTTGGACGCTCAACGATACAAGGCGATTTTGGAGAACGATCTTCTTCCACTTGCGACCACAAAAATTGGACAAGGATGGTTGCTGTACCAGGACAACGCTCCAAGCCACAAGTCGCAACTGCTAATGGGACCAGTTGTTCGCCTTGCCAACGGTGGTAGAGCTCGTCTACCCGGATGGTTCCGATCGAATGGAGTTCAGTTCGTATCTGCTCCTTCTTACAGTCCGGATTTGAACGTTATCGAACATTTGTGGGCGTTTTTGAAGCTGAGATTGAAGGGAAAACGCTTCAATACCAAGATTGAGCTATGGTACTTCATTCGATACATCTGGACAAAGATCGGTCCTCAAATTTTACAGGATTTGGTCGACTCGATGCCGAGAAGGATTCAAGCAATAGTTTCATCAAAAGGAGGCCCTACCAAATATTAAAATACTCGGTTTTTTCTCACTTTTGTTCGAGGGGTAAAGACCTTTGTCCACCTGTTTTGAGGGTTTTTTTTTGTTAACGTCGTTCTTTGTTGCCTAAAATAAATCGTTGTTTCTTTTGGTTACGGGATATAAAAACTAGAGTAAAAATGCTACAAAATACTTTGAAAACAATTTTTAAAACTTGTTAAAAAGTTGAAAAATTTTGCGTTTTAAAAGCTGACCTCGGTAGGGGTAAAGACTTTTGTCCATGACTGTATATGTCGTAGCCGATTATGAATTTCAGCCGATTATGAATGAGTGGGTCCGGACGCGTCCAACCATCAAGTATTTGGTATCATTCAACGCAGGATCATTGATAATTAGGTTAAATTTTTTAAATTGGAAAGATTGGATAAAAAGAAAAAAAATTATGGGGCTTCAAAGTTTTCTCTTGAACAAACAGTTTTTTTGCTCTAATTTTTTTTCTTTTTATTAAATCTTGCTAATTTTAAAAATTTAACATAATTATGAATGATTCTGCGTTGAATGATACGAAATACTTGATGGTTGGACGCTTCTAGACCCACTCATTCATAATCGGCTACGGGGGGGTCCCGCCGCTTTTGAATGAAACGTTGTAGCGCCGGCAATTTTTAACCTAAACTCACGAATTTGGTACCAATTGACGCAGAATTTAATTCGCTACAAAATAATATAATATTGTCCTCATACATTAAAGGGCTGCTCTACTAGAAAGATTTGCCAAAAAAATTTCATTCATAATCGGCTACGACATATACAGTCGAACCTCTCTATAACGTAACTCACGGGACGGCTATAGCTTACGTTATATAGAGGTTTACGTTATATAGAGTGCCGTTTTATATAGCTTAACGTCGGCCGGGACCGGTCACGGCTTACGTTATAGAGAGGTTTACGTTATATCGAGGTTCGTTATAGAGAGATTCGACTGTATATTATTAGCTTGGTAAATATGAAAGGTTATTTTTTTGATCATTTTTAACATAACAGAAAAATTTATTTAAACACTTTCAAAATAAAATGTATTCACCACAAGCATTAATAACTTCTTTCCAACGTTGCCCCAAATCACGAATACCGTCCTCGTAAAAATGAAGATTTTTAGAGGCAAAATAGTTGCCAACCCAATTTTCGATGTCCTACTTTTGTTTGAACGGCTGTCCAGAAACTGCTTGTTTCATTGATTGAAAGAGATAGTAATCCGATGGGGCTAGATCATGGCTGTATGGTGGGTGTGGAAGAAGTTTCCAGCTCAACGTATCGATTTGTTCTTGGACGATCTTTGAAATGTGAGGCCTAGCATTGTCGTGAAGAAATTTGACCTTCGATGGATCGATCCTCTTTTTCCTCAATGCTGGATCGACTCGACCCATTTGTTCTGCATAAAGTCTCCCGTCAACAGTGTCTCCTTTATCTAATATTTCAAAATGAGCCAATCCCTTAGGATTCCACCACACACAAAGCATAACTTTTTCGGAGGCTTCGGGATAGGATGAGAGGTCTGCTTTGAACTCAGCCACTGTCCATAGAGTTGAATATTTTCATACAAAAGCCAAGTCTCATCAGATGTCAAAAAATACTTCCAAAAGTCACGATGGCTAGCTTTACGTAGAAGAACAGAGCTCAAGGTGACTCGTGTGACTTAGTGGGCATCAGTGAGGTCGTGGGGGAGCCATTTACCGCTTCGATATGATTTCCCGAAAACGTGTAAATGGTAACATGAGTGCATCCGAACTTTTCTGCTAATTTGCGATGGATCCAAGTCGACCTCGTTCAGTAACAGCTGATCGTCCAAAGTAATCGGCGGCTTTCCATGTGGTGCATCTTCCAATGACTCGTTTCCCGTTTTGAAGCCATCGTACCAAACACAACATTGTTTGTAAGTAAGAGCAGCTTCTCCAAAAATAGTACAAATGTTCTGATGGCATTCCGTAGCTTTCTTGTTTAACTTGAATTCAAAGAAAATGCCGGCCCTGATTTTAAATTTTTGGTCATCCATCTTTGCCGAGCTGAAACAATACAAATATTATTCAAAACAAAAAAGTTTTTGCAAAAAAAACATGAGCACATTTTGACATATTATTGAGAAAAGTCCTAGACAGCGAATGTTCTTCGTAACGACAGGGCAATATTTTTTGCAAAAAATAACCTTTCATATTTACCAAGCTAATATAACCTGTTTTAGGGTAGTTTATTCGTTTATCATTCTTTTTACATGCTCAAATGGAACTCAACGTTTATGAGCGAAAAAACGAGACAAATGCATAGGAAGTTGATATTGGCGTTAATTTGTCAGGTTAGCAAAAAAAATGATTGTAAGAGATTAGTGCCCCAGACAGGGTGTGTTTCTATTTGGAGCATAAAGTACGTTCAAAGCACATTCGACAGCCCTATACCTTTCAAAATGCAATAGCTTCATTCCAATTTTCAGGCTATAGTCCCCGTAATCACCATTGTAGTCCCATTCTCGATTCTCGCTTTATTGTTGGTGTTAGGCGAAACATTACCACAAGGTAAAGCTCTAAAATGAGATAAATCAATAAAATAAACTTTCTAGAAGTTCTCAACGCCAACAGCATCAACGTCACCTTGCATGGGAAAGTCTGTTCCATTCTCATCATTGCACTCACTCAACCGTATCGAAAATTTTTCCTTGATCAGCTTAAACAAGTGCTAAAGTAGTTTATAGTTAAATTTTAAAGATTAATAATATTTTAGATTTGTTAACTTCTCGAAAAAGATGGAAAACTATCCAAAATCAAAGGTTCACATCGAGGAGATAAAAACTTAAAAAAGCTCGCTTAGAAATTGATTTCTGAATAATGATTATTTGTGATTTATTGTGATTTATTGTGATGAGCTTTATTCAAAACTAAGATATCATTATGGCAATGCTTTCGCAAATCCTCAGCTGTTGGTAGTCAAATATATGACAGAATGAGCGAATGAAGGGATATCCAAGACGCCAAACTGATCCAAAAGTGTTCCCGTCATCGGCGATCATCGCGAAGAAGCACCTTAAAAGGGGGGGGGGGGGGGGGGCAAATAAGGCAAAAATGCGTTTTCTATCGAATTTTTCCGGGAGTACCTTTTTTAGATGCGGAAAATTGTGCTGATTCCGAATCTGAAGGAATTTTTCAAATCCCCTTGACAGAAATTTTAAAAATTTAGTTTTAGCGGTTTTTTGGTCATTTTGTATGGGAAATTTTGTGGTACCCTGCAGTTTGGGGCTCGTAGCTCGACAATCAGTGTCTAGAACAAAGAACGAGGGGATAATTTTTATTCTAGAGACTCTTACGAACATTTTGATGCAAAAACCATCAAATTTGCTCAACCCTACAAAAAGTTATAACATCTTTAAAGAAATTTTGCAAAATACAGGGTGTCCCAGAATTGCGGTAACCTGTAAGGAGCGGGACTAGAAAGCCAAAATTGACCAAGAACGAAAAGTAAACGAACTAATTTATTCTTTTAACACTATTCAACAGAATAATTCAATTTTTTTCAAAGTGAGATCCCTTAGCGTCGATGCAAGCCTGTAAACGTTTTGGAAAAGCGTCGACGGTGGCGAGAAGGTATTGTGGATCGATCGCCTCTCACGCTTTTTGAAGCGCTTTCTTCAACGATTTCACTGTTTTATGTGATTTTGCACAAGCCTGGGACTCTAAAACACTCCATACAGAGAAATCCATTGGATTGAGATCCGGGGACGAAGGTGGCCATTGGTTGAAACTGATGAAGTCTGGGAAGTTGTTAGCATACCAATCCTGAACCAATTTTGCTTTATGCGCCGGCGCCCCGTCTTGTTGGAAGCACCAAATCCTGTTCCCAAAGTGTTTTTCTCAAGATTCGACCCATCGAGCTTTTTGAGACTTTCAGTTGTGAGGCCATTTTTCTTACTGAACGGAACCGATTCAAACGGACACGGTCGCGCACCTTCTTGATGATGGCTTTGTTGAAAACAGATCGTTTGTTACCTCGTCCTTTCCGATCGAAATTGGTGCCCAGTTCCTTGAATCTTGCAATCGTCGTCGAAACCAGCTTCTTCGAGACTTTCAATCGCTTTGAAATATCAATCGCTCGGGTCCCGCCTGTGTGAAGTTGAATGATCGAGTTACGATGAGCAGAAGGCTTTGTCATTCTAAATTTAAAATCAGATTTTGATGTAAACATTAACAAAACATTCAAAAAAAGAGAATAAACCAAAAAAAAAGCTAAATCACAGGCAACTCAAAACTCAAAAACGGGCAAAGCAGCGGGGCAGAGCCGGTTACCGTAATTCTGGGACACCCTGTACACTAAAAACATAAGGGGAAACCGTGGCCGAGTGGTCTAAGGCGCGCGACGTGAATCCCGCGCAAAAGTATGGGGTTGTTGGTTCGGCTCTCCCGCGCACTTGAGCTATTATTTTGCATATTCCTTAATTGTTTTGAGTGAATACGATACATAGCTACATTGTTCTTTTGAACAAAACAATTGTGCAATAGAGAATTTTTTAAATTTTCTTATTTCTTTTTTAAAAAATTTTATAACTTTTTGTAGGGTTGAGCAAATTTGATGGTTTTTGCATCAAAATGTTCGTAAGAGTCTCTAGAATAAAAATTATCCCTTCGTTTTTGGTTCTAGACCCTCGTTGTCGAGTTACGAGCCCCAAACTGCAGGGTACCACAAAATTTCCCATACAAAATGACCAAAAAACCGCTAAAACTAAATTTAAAAAATTTCTGTCAAGGGGATTTGAAAAATTCCTTCAGATTCGGAATCAGCACAATTTTCCGCATCTAAAAAAGGTACTCCCAGAAAAATTCGATAGAAAACGCATTTTCGCGCCGATGTGGGGGGTATTAATCGCGGCCGGGTGACGATAAAATTTTTTTTACGGCAACCACTTGTTTTTCTTATTTTAATATCGCTGATTTTATTATAAAAAGAATAAAAATCACCCGGCTAGAGTGATTTGATGGGTTTACAAATTTTTGGAGACGCTGCAAGACTCGCGTGGTTCATCTACAAGGCAAGTGCGAAAGTAAAGCAAAAGTCAGACATTATGTTTTCTTGGGGGGTAGTCAAAACAGCGCCATAATAGAAAACGTTCAAAACAGCGCCGTCAAATTTCTCAAAATCCAAAAAACCAAGCCGGTTCAAGTTTTATATCAAAAAATTCCTTGCCTTCTTGGCTACATGATGGGTAAAACAGTTTTTAAAAAAAGTTAATATTTCATAGATAAAAAGAGCACTCAAAATGTGTGTCGAGTGAGACTCAGTTGGTTAACTGAATATCTTTAGAGACCTATTTTGAGTGCTCTTTTTATCTATGAAATATTAACTTTTTTGTTAAAAACTGTTTCACCCATCATGTAGCTAAGAAGGCAAGGAATTTTTTGATATAAAACTTGAACCGGCTTGGTTTTTTGGATTTTGAGAAATTTGACGGCGCTGTTTTGAACGTTTTCTATTATGGCGCTGTTTTGACTACCCCCGTTTTCTTGTTGTTTTCTTTAGACTTTCGATCTACACTTTTGATTTTTAACATCTCTAGATGCCTTTTCCAGATGAAGATTTTATGTTTAGATAATGCAAAAGGCGATCAAAACACCCTAAGCTATCTACTAGAGTGTGTTCCTCTCGAGTAATGCGTTTTCTAAAAGGCACCTATTTGAGAGAACGGGAGGTAGTCAAATGAGCGCCAACAATTGGGCGCCAATCATTTCAGCGCCAACGATTTGGCTCACGCTTATTTCAGCGCCACTCATTTCAGCGCCGTGCCAAAAATGACTGGAAAACAATCATTTGAGCGCCAAATTAAAAAGGCCTAAAAACGTTCATTTAAGCGCCGGGCCAAAAATGACTGGAAAACGTTCATTTCAGCGCGGCTAGATTTTAATATTTTTGCTTTCTACGCTGCTTTTGCATGTTTTTTAGGGTTTTGCTTCTGTTTTTACACTTTTTTCACTCATTTGACCTAGGGCACGGCAGTGGGCACCAAATGCGCGGAAAAAAAAATTGTTAGATTAGGTCGTATTTAAGGTTTTTTTGATGAAAATGTGTAAATTTGCTAGTTGTATGTTATTTTCCCCCAATAGCATGCTTTTTCACTCTTTCTTTTCCGTTTTCGTTTACAATATTTGCTTACAGTTAACATAGTTCTTTGCTTAGGCTCGTGAACGGCGCAAGAAGTGGCAAGACAAAGGAAAATGCAAAAATAACATACATATACAGAATGGGCTGATTCGGCGCTGAAATCAATGTTTTCCAGTCATTTTTGGTGCGGCGCTGAAATGAACGCGCGCTGAAATGATTGGCGCTGAAATGATTGGCGCTCAATTTTTGGCGCTCAATTTTTGGCGCTCATTTGACTACCTCCCGAGAAAACTAAAACCACAATCGACCACAAATGGAAAAAAAAGATCTAATTGTGTCAATCAAAGCGCTGAAGACGTCCTAGGGTGGAGGAGATCCAGTCACTTCTGGTGAAAATGGACGGGAAATTGATAAGATAGGAAGCCGATTTGAGGAACTGCTGTACTTGAGCGAAGATGAAAGTGAGCAAGAGGAAGAATTATAGATTGACAACTTATTTTTATTGTTTTTTGTGCTTTTTATTTTGTTTTTAAATTTATCTGCAATTAAAACTCAATCGATCTAGACTGTGCTGAGGTGTCTGATGAGTGACGATCTTGTTTTTCTCCAAGTCTTGCAGCGTCTCCTCTCGATCTCGAGCTAAAAGATGTGTCGAAGTTGATGATTAACGTTGATTATAAGTTGATTAACGAGAGATTCTATTTGTTTTGTTCAAAGGATCAATCATTCAATCATTTTCGGTTTGATCAATCAATCAATCAATCGCTGTGGTTGCCCTGGGACAGTCCTTCAAACTGAAAAATTGGATCAATGTTTCGTGTTTCGACAGCACGTTCACGCGATGAGTTTCCTAGAGGTTCTGGTCCTGGTCTTGGTTCTGGTTCTGGTTCTGGTTCTGGTCCTCGTCTTGGTCTTGGTCTTGGTCCTGGTCTTGGTCCTGGTTCTGGTTCTGGTTCTGGTCCTGGTCTTGGTCCTGGTTCTGGTTCTGGTTCTGGTCCTGGTTCTGGTTCTGGTCCTGGTCTTAGTCCTGGTTTTGGTTCTGCTTCTGGTTCTGGTTCTGGTTCTGGTTCTGGTCCTCGTCTTGGTCTTGGTCTTGGTCTTGGTCCTGATTCTGGTTCTGGTTCTGGTCCTGGTTCTGGTTCTGGTCCTGGTTCTGGTTCTGGTCCTGGTCTTGGTTCTGGTTCTGGTTCTGGTTCTGGTCCTCGTCTTGGTCTTGGTCTTGGTCCTGGTCTTGGTCCTGGTTCTGGTTCTGGTTCTGGTCCTGGTCTTGGTCCTGGTTCTGGTTCTGGTTCTGGTTCTGGTTCTGGTTCTGGTCCTCGTCTTGGTCTTGGTCTTGGTTCTGGTCCTGGTTCTGGTTCTGGTTCTGGTTCTGGTCCTGGTCCTGGTTCTGGCTCTGGTTCTGGGGCTTGTGTGGCCCTGAAGACCCTCTCTTTTCCCTCTTCAGCTCCAACCAATGGGAACTTACATCAAAAGCAATCTTTTTGGCCATCCTGGAACGCACTAGGGTCTTTCAAAGCTTTTCAAAGTTTCAAAGTTCAAAAATTAATAGTTTTATCTATTGGCACCATATCCGTTTTCTAAAACGTGCCCCTTTCTCTTTCTATCCTGATCCAAATTAGTCAGTGAATGGCGTTTTGCTTATCCTAGAACGCATTAGGCAGCTGTTCCCAAGTTTAGAAGGCTGTTCACGATAAAAATAGAGACAGGATTACTGTAGGAAGAGGAGCGGGGCATGGTTTAGGAAACGACTTTCCATTAATTTTTAGGATTATCAGAATCAAGGGGAAAAACAGCAAAAAGGCCTTGTGCGTTCCAAAAAGGCCATTCGCCTGCTCGCTTTTCCCTTTCCCTTCCAGAATATCGATTTTTCTTTGCTCATTTCTTTTTTCCTCCTTTTTTCCTCCTTTCTTTAGCCGCATTTTCGTTATTGCTTTTCTTAAAATTTATCGCTTACCGCTTAATTTACCGTTTTAAATCTCCCAATTGTTAATTTTTATTCAAAACATAAATTCAGTCTTCTTTTCCTTCTGATGAATGGACTTCTATGCGCCCCGTGCTCGCACTCACAACGAAGAGGAGTACCAGGAGTTGTTGAAACAAGTTGGACCAACAAAAAAAAAAAACAAGAATTACCAGAATAAAGCTAAAGCAAGAATAAAGCTTTTCGTTAGCTGTACTGAGCTCCAGATTGCAGTTTGGGAACAAAAGAAAATTTCTATTTAACTAGATTTTTACCTTTTCTTTACCGCGATAGTTTTGCGGTTGGGTAGCAATTTTAGCAAGCGTCAGAACGTCACTAAATCAAGAAATCTCTTCGGTGAATCGTTTTGTGCGTTCCAGATTACATTCTTGAAAACAAAAATCACCATTGAGTTGGTTTAGTTCGCTTCGAAAAACTCTCTGAGTCCGATCCTAGCAATGATCATTCAAAGGAATCCTTTTGGTTCCTATTTGGTTCCTATTTAGCTCTTTGTAGTTCCTATTTGATTCCTATTTCCTATTTGGTTCCTATTCGGTTCCTATTTAGTTCTTTGTAGTTCCTATTTGGTTCCTATTTCCTATTCGGTTCTTATTTGGTTCCTATTTGGTTCTTTATAGTTCCTATTTGATTCCTATTTGATTCCTATTCGGTTCCTATTTGGTTCCGATTTAGTTCTTTGTAGTTCCTATTCGGTTCCTATTTCCTATTTGGTTCCAATTCGGTTCCTATTTAGTTCTTTATAGTTCCTATTTGATTCCTATTTCCTATTTGGTTCCTATTTGGTTCTTTATAGTTCCTATTTGATTCCTATTTGATTCCTATTTGGTTCCTATTTGGTTCCTATTTAGCTCTTTGTAGTTCCTATTTGGTTCCTATTTGGAAATGAAAATTAAAAATTCGCAAAAACCCAATTCAAAACCCTTCCATAGCTGTCCTGAATTCCAGATTTTGCTTTGAAATTGAAATAAATTTTCAATTCCGTTAATTTCTGTCATTTTTCGCTCCAGCTCTAAATCTGTAAGTGCCAGAAAATTTTAATGCCTTCAAAATCAAAATATTTAACTAAAATATTGCATTGTGCGTTCCAATTTGACCAAAAATTAAATAAAATTCGAATTCTCTCAATATAGAAACGAATTTTTATCGTTGATTTTGAAAAATTCTAGGTGCAATCCCTCCAGAATAAGCTCTCGGCGAAGACGGAAACGCTGCTGAGGCTGGGAAATGATTTGGAGACACGGGAAAAGGAAAGAGACCAATGGAGGGCAAAAGCCGAGAATTACGAGAGAAATTTGGAGCGCAGCGAGCGACAGATCACGCAGTTGACACAGGTGGGCAAGGAAAATGGTAATCGATTTGATTTTCGATAAATCGGAAAAACTGTTGCTTAGAACTTGCGGTATGCGTTCCAGATAGGCCAAAAATGGGAAAGAGTTTTGGATTTGGCTTCCCAAGAGGCCAAAAAGTGCTCGGTTTAGTTACGCAGTTTTTCCAAAATCTTAACCTCGAAAAGTCGATGTCATTGGCGTTCAGAGTTTGTTATGTGCGTTCCAGATAAGCCAAAAATATACAGAAGTTTTGGATTTAGCTTCCCAAGAGGCCAAAAAGTGCTCGGTTTAGTTACGCAACTTTGTACTCTATCTTACTCTGTATTCGAGTTTTCAGGGAATCCGAGACACGGCTTTAAAAGATTTGGAGGAGTCGAGAGCCCTGGCAAAACGTTTGGAAATTGAGAACGAGCATCTAAAGCGTCAAAATGACGATCTGAAAGCGGAAATCAGAGGTGGGTTGGGGCTAGGTTGAGCTGAAAACTTTTGACGCAATTTTCTCGCTAAATTCGGGATAATTTTCGGAAATTTCCTTTGAATTTGTCAATCCTAGAGCGCACAAAAAAATATTATCACATTTGCAAAACATTTTTACGAAATTTGACAAGTGTCGAATGACAGTCTAGATTAGAGTATTCAGTGTAGACTGTCTGGATTACGGTATCCAGTCTAGAATTGGATGTTCAGTCTAGATTCGAATATTCAGTCTAGATTAGGTTATTCAGCTAAGATTAGCTGGATTACGGTATTCAGTCTAGCTTAGGTTATTCAGTGTAGACTGTCTGGATTACGGTATCCAGTCTGGATTGTTTTGTCATTTGTCACATGTCAAGACAAATGTTGACCAAAATCTTTTTGACGCAAAATTTCGCCAAATTTAAATAAATTTTAAAATTTCCCTAACAATTCGTTAATTCTGGAGCGCACAAAAGTAAATTTTCAGATTTGCAAAAAGATTGCAAAACATTTCGACAACAATTGGCTAGGGTCGAGGTGGAGAGGATCGAGGAGCGGAGAGGAGGCGGCCAGAACGACGCGAATCCACAGATGAGGGTTTGCAATGGAAATTTCTGGAGAGCTGGAGGGCACACAAGATTTTAGACGAAATCCCGAAGCAGCTCGGACCATTTGCCGTGTGACGGGGAGACGATTGCGAGACTGGAGAAGCTGATCGCTGAGGTGGGGAGATTTTAGGGGAAACGAAATTCTGTCTGACTAGATATCTCAGTTGACTTCCAGCTTAGACGAATATGCAAATTTCATGCTAGGCTATCAATGCAAATTTCGATAAAAATGCCCAGAGTCCGAAGGGTCGGTAGCTAAGACGCCTTTTACCGTAGTCAAAATTCTGTCTGACTAGATATCTCAGTTGACTTCCAGCTTAGACGAATATGCAAATTTCATGCTAATCTATCAATGCAAATTTTGATAAAAATGCCCAGAGTCCGAAGGGTCGGTAGCTAAGACGCTTTTTACCGTAGTCAAAATTCTGTCTGTCTAGGTATCTCAGTTGACTTCCAGTTTAGACGAATATGCAAATTTTATGCTAATCTATCAATGCAAATTTGAGAAAATCGGCCAGAGTCCGAAGGGTCGATAGCTAAGGCATCTTTTACCGTAATCAAAATTCTGTCTGACTAGATATCTCGGCTGACTTCCAGCTTAGACAAATATGCAAATTTTATGTAAATCTATCAATGCAAAGCTGAGAAAATCGCCCAGAGTCCGATTTGTCTGACTCTGAAATTTGCATTGAACTTCTCAATGCAAATTTTTTAAGCAAAATTTTTAAGCAGAAAATTGTTCTGAATGAGATTTTCGAGTCTCAATAACTTTCTTTCTAGAATAAACAACTCGAAGCGGACATGTCGAGTCTGTTGGGCACAAAGGAGGAGCTCGTCCTGGAAAGAGAGGCGATGGCGAAGAAAATCGAGCGACTTTCCGCCGAGTTGACCTATTTGCTGAATGGTGATCCGAGACGGGTGGGGAATTGCAGTGTGCGCTCCAGGATTCAAAATTCCATCAAAATTACCATAGTCTGACTCAAGGAAAAGCGCGATATAGGCTTGAAGTCGTTTCGGGTTACTGTACTTGAAAAATTTTGGAAATTGCTTAGCGGAATGATGTCGAAAAGGTCGAGTGCATTCCAGGATTGAGTAAATTAAGGAAATTATTGTAATCCTGGTTATGGAAAGGGAAATATAGCGGTGAACTCGTTTAGGATGATCATTTTGATGAAAATTGATGATCTGATCATCAGTTTTGATCTCTAGCATAAGTTTTTGGCTGGCTGACAGTTTGGCTCTTTTCTGTGACATCCAGATCTTTAGATGGTCGAAGATTTGGATAGTTTAATGGCTGAGAATCGGTACCTAAAGGCGCAGCTCGATTCGGCGAATGAGGAGAGTCAGACAATCAAGGAGACACTCGAGAAGTACAGGACCGTAGCCGAACATGTGCATGCCAGGAAGCAGGCTGAGGTTAGTGAAAAGCTTTGATTGTAGATTTTAATGGGTTTTCCGGTGGTGAACTCGATTTTGAGCTGTCAAAGTTGGCTAAAGTTGGCCAAAGCTGAACTTTGTGTTGTAAACACACGCTCTCTGGGACACTGGAAACGATATTTAAGAAGTTTTCAGCTTTCTCCTTCTGTGAAAGAATCGAAAGACGAGGAGAAGAGCACAGTGGCCGTAGTGAATATGAAACAAAGTGAGTTTGAAGAATTTTCAATTTTTCTTAATTCTTTCTGGAGTAAAGGAGATCGAGTGCTTTGTAGTGTAGTGGTTAGCACAGTTGTCCGGTAAGCGAAAGGTCGCGGGTTCGAGTCCCGGCGGTGTACGATTTTTTGATCTGCTCGAAAATTCGAAAGTACAAGATTGGGAACAAATCTTTTGCCAGATTGGTCTAAATTTTTCGAATTTTTCAAAAATGGGTGTTCTGGAGGTCACACTAATCACGAGGCTTGATAGAAATTTGCATTTTGAGATTTTGAGAATTAAAGTATTCTGTCTTCAATAGCGTCTTAAATACAAGATTGGCATCAAATCTCTTGCCAGATTGGTCCAAATTTTTCGAATTCGCCAAAAATGGGTTTTCTGGAGGTCACACTAATCACGAGGCTTGATAGAAATTTGCATTTTGAGATTTTGAGAATTACAGTACCCCGTCTTCAATAGCGTCTTAAATACAAGATTGGCATCAAATATCTTGCCAGATTGGTCTAAACTTTTCGAATTCGCCAAAAATGGGTGTTCTGGAGGTCACACTAATCACGAGGCTTTATGATTTGCATTTGGGGATTCAGCCCTCCATACCGTCTTAAATACGTTGGACCCTGCCAAATTGGTAAAGTTTGTTTTTGAAAAATGGGTGTTCTGGAGGTCACACTAATCACGAGGCTTGATAGAAATTTGCATTTTGAGATTTTGAGAATTACAGTACCCTGTCTACAATACTGTCTTAAATACAAGATTGGCACCAAATCTCCTGGCAGATTCGTCTAAACTTTCCGAATTGGCCAAAAATGGGTGTTCTGGAGGTCACACTAATCACGAGGCTTGATAGAAATTTGCATTTTGAGATTTTGAGAATTAAAGTACCCTGTCTTCAATAGCGTCTTAAATACCGTACCTAAAAACTTTTACTATAAGAAAAACTATAGAAACAATAAGGAATTCTTAAAGCGTGCGTGCCATAGTTGCCATTTTCAGTCCGCGAACTGCTCACATCGCACTCGATCGAGCTGGACGAGGGCGACTACCGAGCGATGTCGAATATCCTGCTCGACGTGTGCAACGATAAGCAAATGGCGTTAGCGCATCAACGACGCGCGAACAAGTGAGTGTGCGAGCCAGATTGACGAAATTTGTCTGAAAATTCGGATATTACGGTAGTTCAAAGTTGATTTTTTTGCGCCATTCCAAACCTAGAAAAAACCAACTTTTAAAAAACAGCAAAATGACCACAAATGACTTTGCCATAAAGTCGAATGCATTCCAGAATTGAGAAAATTTAAAGAAACTACCGTAACCCAGCCTTTCAAGGGCGCATTTTAGGCTCGAACTCATCACCGGAAAAAAAAGTTCGGAAATTTTGTGAAAAACTTAATTGAAATGCTTTCAAAAGTCTCTGTGACATCCAGGAGCGATGAAAATGAAATCGAAATTTGAAAATCATTGCCCAATCATTGCCCAATCTTCCAGAATTCTCGGCAATCGATTGCACGAGGTGGAGCAGAAATTGCAAACACTTGAGCTACGTGGGGACAAATCGCCGAGAAGTGTCAGTCCACGGCTGTAAAATGCAAATTGATCCAAAACCAAATCCAAATTTGCATAACATAATATAGTATTTAGTGCGTGGCAGCCCATTTGTGAGCCTACCCTTAAATTGGGGCTGCTACGCAGATAGTAAATTTTTTTGGAAAGCAGTTAAATTTATCTCTATTCTCTTCTGTGTCTTCCAGATCCCACATTTAGTTTGAGAAAATTGCGTGGCAGCCCAATTCAGCAATTTGAACGATGAGACAATGGAAGGGCTGCCACGCAGCTAATGCCATAGTGCGCTGATACCAAACATTTCTTTGTAGATCTCTTCCGTGTATTCCAGTTCTCACATTTATCCTATTGGAAATGCGTAGCAGCCCAATTCGGCAATTTTGGTGGCGAGACAAGGAAAGGGCCGCCACGCAGCTATGTAATAATGCGCTGATACCAAACATTTCTTTTGTAGATCTCTTCCGTGTATTCCAGATCTTACATTTACCCTATTGGAAATGCGTGGCAGCCCGATTCAACAGTTTTAATGATGAGATCAGGGAAGGGCTGCCACGTACTTCTACAAAATTATCCAATGCTAAATTTTTTTGTCTATTTTTTTTTCTGTGCACCCCAGATCTCGCATTTATCAATTCAAACGTGAACTTTCATGTGATACAAATAAAAATTTCTTCTCGCAAAGAAATGACTCGTAATTGGTGGCAAAAAAAACTGAAATTTTGAAGTGAGAAAAATTCCGAAAGCGACAATCTATTTGGTGACATCCAGGATGCTGTACAAACTAGACAAAAAGCGAAAATCGGCGATCACTTTTTCCGGAACAAGTCGAGATCCTCATCAGAATCGTCGAAGAGCGATTTTTTCACCGTGGAGCTGGTCGCTTTGGCTGTAGTTGTGGAAACTTTAGCCGCGGCTGGCGCTGGCGGTGGCTTTGATGGGTCATTTGTCGATGAAGGCTTTGAGGCACTGAAAATTTCTGGTTGCTCTAGAATTAAGAGGACCTAACATCTCTAAATCGCCCAAAATCAAGTTTTTTAGCAATCCTGGAACGCACGAGGGCTGTTCTCAATTTTAGAAATTCAAAATTATTAATTTCATCCGATGGTCGGATGGATGAGTCAGCGCTGGATGAGTCAGTTGGATAAAATTGGAAATTTTAAATTTCTAAAATTGGGAACAGTCCTAGTGCCTTCCAGATTGGCCAAAAAAACGTTAACAGACTGATTTGGATTACGGTGGAAAGAGAAAAGGGCACGGTTTAGGAACTGGTACGGTAGAATGGATGAAATGCAGATTTTGAATATCTAAACTTTGGACAATCCCTAGTGACTTCCAGATTAGCCAAAAAACCGTTTACTGACGAATTTGGCTTACGGTAGAAAGAGAAAAGGGCACGGTTTAGGAATCGGAACGGCGCCAAGGAATTAAACGGCTATTTTTAAAGTTTTAAGCTTTGGAAAATTCCTAGTGACTTCCAGATTAGCCAAAAAACCGTTGATAGACTGATTTGGATTACGGTAGAAAGAGAAAAGGGCACGGTTTAGGAACCGGTACGGTAGAATGGATGAAATGCAGATTTTGAATTTCTAAAATGGGGAACAGTCCTAGTGCCTTCCAGGATCGGCAAAAAACCGTTTATCGACTGATTTGGATTACGGTAGAAAGAGAAAAAAGGGCGATCTTTAAGCGGCTGGTTTGGCTGAAGAATGAAATTGCAATTTTCGACTTCTAATTTTTGGAAAAGCCCTAGTGCCTTCCAGGATGGCCAAAAAGTTTTCTTTTTTTGTTTTTTTTCGTCTTTTTTCCCTACCTTATCCCACTTGTCGTTTTCACCGAAAAAACGCTTTTTTCTTGAAAAAATCATCGTCAGAACTCTCCGAATCGAACAAAAGCGATTTTTTCTTTCCTTCTTCCTGTAAATTCTCTTATTTAGAATGTTCATCGCTTTCAAAAATTACCTTTTAGATCACTTGACTTCAGTGTTTGCGACGTGATCGAAATTCGACTTCCCGTTGAACCCTTGCGAACGAGTGGAGGACTGAAATATGGACTTTAAGTAACACTATTACGATTTCAAGGAGAGATTTGGGCATTCTGGATGTCACACTAAAATCTGGGATAGTATTTTATAGAGTAGAACATAAAGCCTCAAAGCTGGACCGAGGTCGGAACGAGTTTGGCTCATTTCCAGCTCGCCCAACTTGTCAATCTCATTTCTAATTAGCTATTTGGGCATTCTGGATGTCACAGCAAAATCCAGGCTAGGCAGTTATAAGGTAGAACATAAAGCCTCAAAGCTGGACCGAGGTCGGAACAAGTTTGACTCATTTCCAGCTCTCTCAACTTGACAATCTCATTTCTGATTAGCTATTTGGGCATTCTGGATGTCACAACGAAATCTGGGCCAGGCAGTTATACGTTAGAAGATAGTGCCGCCATGGCCGAGTGGTTAGGAGTCTCGTATACGAGTCGAGAGGTCACGGGTTCGATCCCAGCGGCTAGAAAATTTGGCTCTTTTTCCCATATACATGAGTTTTTCTCTGCAACATGGAATTAGAGCGGCAGGGGTTGTGTATTGGCTTGTGTCACATTATTCATGTTGAATAAATGTCGACTTTTTATAGAGCCTTAAGACTGGGTCGAGGTCGGAACGAGTTTGGCTCATTTCCAGCTTGTTAAACTTGGCAACTTCATTTCCAATCAGTTTTTTGGACATTCTGGATGCCACAACAAAATCCAGGCTAGGAAGTTATAAGGTAGAACATAAAGCCCGAAAACTGGGTAGAGGTCGGAAGGAGTTTGGCTCATTTCCAGCTCGCTCAGCTTGACAATTTAATTTCCAATCAGTTTTTTGGGCATTCTGGATGTCACACACTGTAACTAGCTTAGTTAATTAGTCTAGTTAGTTTATCAGAAATTTTGCGAGCTCACCTCTGCGAAACGCTCGTCACTGAAATCTTTCTCGGTGTTGGCTCGATTGTTGGCGGTGCTTGGGCGGCCTTTTCCGGGCTTTTCGGCCTCACCACGCCAATATTTTTATTTTCCGGGCTCTCCGATGTAATTGTTGTGCTAAAATTTGAGAATTCTATAAAGTTTTGAAAAATTTTGTACCTTGTCGCGATTTTCGAGCCGGACAATTTTCTTTCGACTTTTTCGATTTCTTGAACGCTCGAGCCGCTGAAATGCGTTCCAGGTTAAAAAAATTTGCATTCAAATTCATATGCAAATTTTTGAAATCGGTTAAAAACCTGGGTAGCACCATTGATCGAACCACTCGCTGCGGCGGGGAGGCGTTTCTAGAAAATTTGCATATACAAATGAAATGATTAGCTGAATTTTTTGTGTGCGCTCCAGCTTAGCTGAATATCTTTTAAAAAAAAGTCAGAAAATTTACGGAAATTGGAAAAATCGTTGTCGTAACGAAATGCTAAGTTTGTCAAAGATCGAAAAATTTGCATTTATGCAAAAACAATTAGCTGAGTAGTTTGCGTGCGTTCCAGATCGGCTGAATATCTTTTAAAAAAGTCAGAAATATTCGGAAGGGGGAAAAATCGTTGTCGTAACAAAATGCTAATTTTTCAAAGATCAAAGAATTTGCATTTCTGTAAAAACAATTAACTGAATATTTTGCGTGCGCTCCAGCTTAGCTGAATATTTTTTAAAAAAAGTCAGAAATATTCGGAAAGTGGAAAAATCGTTGTCGTAACGAAATGCTAAAATTATCGGGGAAAGAATTTGCATTTATGCAAAAGCAATTAACTGAATATCTTGTGTGCGTTCCAGATCGGCTGAATATCTTTTTAAATTCTAAAAAATATCAACCTCCGCATGACGGGCGCCTCCGAAGGGAAAGCGGCGATCGATTGAGCCCGATTTCTGGAAATTGCAAAGGGAATTCGAATTTTTGAAATGATAACTTTTCGATCTGGATATCACACTACGTTATGGTACAATTAAAAAGCTAAAATCTTGAATTTAAAAAATCTTGACTTTACCCCTATCGTTATGGCGCTGTTTTTCGCCAACAATTGCCGATTTTCAGAAAAAATTCAGTTGATTGGCGAATCTGGATGTCACGTAAGCTGACTAGCATTTAATATTCATTCTTCTCAAGCAAAAAACCCACCCCGATTCACTCTCGCTCGACCCACTCCGCAGCACCACAGAGGCCCGGCTGGGCGGTCGTCTCATCGGCCCAGTGACTCGATTCTAGAAAATACCCTTTGAAAAAGGTGTTGTGCGTTCCAGGACAGGCAAATTGAGATTTAAAAATCGTCTACCTTTACCGTAGAGCTCAATAAATGTGGCTTCTCGTCGAAGAGCTTTGACTCGGATTGGGGTGGGGCCTGGAATTGTTAAATTGCGGATTAAGAAGGCAATACCTGTTCGGAGTGTGTCCTCCGAATGGCGCTCGGTGCTGGGATTGGGCTCACGGATTGGGCGCTTGACGGCTCATCGCTTTTCACTGACGGTGGCGGTGGAAAGAGGCGAACACCCTGGAAATCAGAATTTTAAGTAATCAACAGCTTGTGTGCCTTCCAGAATCATCATCTTATTCAGAAAAGTCCTGAATGCAATAGCCCATCAAGGGGAAAACTGATCGAAGGCTGATCGCTGGTTAGCAGCTCGGTTTTAGAGTAGGGCAGGTGACTTTTGATCTCACATATAGCTATTTAGATCTAGTACTAGCTCATAAACGGCCTAGTGACATCCAGAATGCTCAAATAACTAATCAGAAATGAGATTGACAAGTTGAGAGAGCTGGAAATGGGTCAAACTCGTTCGGACCTTGGTCCAGCTTTGTTCTACTCTCTAACTGCCTAGCCTGGATATTGCTGTGACATCCAGAATCTCCAAATAACTAATCAGAAATGAGATTGACAAGTTGAGCACGCTGGAAATGAGCCAAACTCGTTCCGACCTCGACCCAGCTTTGATCTCCTCGACCCAGCTTTGTTCTATCCTATAACTGCCTAGCCTGGATTTCACTGTGACATCCAGAATGCTCAAATAACTAATCAGAAATGAGATTGACAAGTTGAGAGAGCTGGAAATGAGCCAAACTCCTTCCGACCTCAGCTTAGCTTTGCTCTCTTCAGCCCAGCTTTGTTCTACTCTCTAACTGCCTAACCCAGCTTTCATTGTGACATCCAGAATGCTCAAATAGCTACTTGAAATTGTAACATTGTTAGATTTAGCTTGGGTAGGCAGCTATGTGAACCTATCTAACCCCAGTTTTGGTCTAGCCAGACTGGTCAGCCAAGGCTTTGTTCTTAGCTTTGCTAATAACTCTCTAACTGCCTTACTGTACCCGGAGGCTAAATCTGGCAGCTCTGGCAGCTAAATGCTACCGTACCCCAGCACCCAACCCTACCGTACCCCAGCATCTCATTCCTACCGTCTCCCAGCATCCCAATCCTACCGTACCCCAGCATCTCAACCCTACAGTACCCCAGCATCTCATTCCTACCGTACCCCGGGTGGTGGCGGTTTCGCGAGGCATGCGTTCAGCTTGTTCGCAAGCGCCGTGTTGTTCAACTTTCCGCGGACGTTCATTTCGTCGGTGCTCCTTTCAAGGTCGGGATCTGACGGAATCTCAAAGCCAGGCCCTTCCTCGAACTCCTCAGCCGCGAAAACACTCGTCGATGGCTCTGAAATTTCAACAATTTCCACGAAAATTGATTTCCCCTCAATTTCTAGCCCTTTTATTCTTAGATTCTCGAAATTTTACAGATTTTCCGACAATCTGGATGTCACACTATAAAATTCTATCAAAATTTTCATGAAAATCCGTAAAAATTTTAAAAGCAAATTTTCAATGAAAATTTTTCTATGCAAATTTTTATATGAAAATTTTTATAGGCAAATTTCAATAAAAATTTTAAATGCAAATTTTTAATAAAAATTTTAAATGCTAATTTTTTATGAAAATTTTTATATGCAAATTTTTATGAAAATTTTTAAATGCTAATTTTTATATGCTAATTTTTATACTAATTTTGAAAAAATTTTAAAATCGGATTTAAAATTCGAATTTTACTGGAATCCCTCCTGTGACTTCCAGATTGTACAATTCCGATGTGAAAAAGGATTTTTGAACTCACGATTCGGCGCTGCTGGCGGCGAGTCGTTTCTCGCGAAAATCGGCGGATTTGAGTCGAAAATTTGCGCGGAAACGATCGGTGAAATAGATTTTGGCTTCTTTTCGCTTCCTGGCTTTTCGTCAAAAGTGCGCTCTGTCGGGAGCGCGAATGGCTGATCGTCCTCGACGGCCAAATTCAAAGTCGCGCCTCTCGGCTTCGTTGTCGGCTCGGTTTCTACTAAATCTGTTGACGGATTTGGGAAATCTCGCAAATCTTCTCGCAAGCTGGCAGACACAGAAGCGTTCGGCTTCGAGAAAATCTCTGGAAGCTGAGCAATCACCGCTTCGACGATTCCGATTGGACTTTGAGGCTTTTTCTCGACCTCCGCTAACTTTTCAGCGACTTTTTCTTTAGATTCGGCGATCCTGGATGTCACAGCGTCTACTCGTTCAATTTGCACAACTTCTTGACGCTTTTCGGTGTCCTTAGTCTCGGCTCGTACTTTGTCTGCTTCTACCGTAACCCCTTTCTGTCTCAAACCTGCTACCGTAATCTCTTTCTGTCTTGAATCTGCTTCCTGGGTGACAATTCGATGATCTAATAGGTTATCAGAAGCATTTATCGATTTCGACGTGGTCAGAGTCGAGTCAGTTTCTTCACTCACTAATTTCTCGACGCCAGCTTCTGCTTTCTCAAGTTTTCTTGGGGATTCTTCTTTCCTGGATGTCACAAGAGTTACAGTAGCCAAGGGATCACTCGGTGGCAAACTTTTCTCAACTTCGACAATTCGAGTTGAAGCCTAAAATTTCAAAATTTCAAAAATTGCAAATTTAAAAAAATTTAAATTTCTTTTTATTTTGTGCACTCCAGAACGCAAAATGCTCACGTTGGAGTTGAAAAATTAAATTTTTAAACTCAAATTTTAGCTTAGCGAACGATTTACCTGAATTCGCGGCTCGTTTTTGACGATTTGCCTACTCGATTTTGACGATTTGCTGGATTGGCTCGATTTCTGAAAGTCAATTCTATTAGATCCGATTTGATTCGAGAAATTTAAACCCGATTTTCGAAAGGCTTTTGTCTCAGGGATGTTTCTAAAGCTTAGAAAGTCGAAAAATCTTAGCGACATTAACCGACGCCAGCGAAAATTCTTCTAAGCCAACCCTATGCCATTTTTCTTGTTCTGTGCGTTCCAGAACTGGGCTTTACACAAAAAAATTCTTTTGTTACCTCGAAATTTTCGCAAAAACAAGCCTCGTCTAGATTCTCCAATTTCCGCCTTACCCAAAACTTCGAATTCCCAAAAACTTTTGATATTTTCTTGTTCTGTGTGTTCCAGAACTGGGCTTTACACGAAAAAATTTTTTGGTTACCTTGAAATTTTGCGAGAAAATCGATTGATCTTGAACCAGACCAAAGCACCTTCCTTTATTTTTGTCTAAAGCCAAAAATTTGAATCGATATCGATGAAATGCCTTCCAGATCGCTGATTTTTAAAAAGAATTCAAGCGCAACCAATTCCCAATTCCCAAAAACAAGCCTAGTCTATATCCTCCAATTCCCACCTTGCTCAAAACATCGAATTCCCAAAATCTTTTGAAATTTTCTTGCTCTGTGCGTTCCAGAACTGGGCTTTGCACGAAAAAATTCTCTGTTTGCCTCGAAATTTGCACAAAAACAAGCCTCATCTATATTCTCCAATTCCCACCTTGCTCAAAACTTCAAATTCTCAAAATCTTTTGATATTTTCTTGCTCTGTGCGTTCCAGAACCGAGTTATCGAGCAATTAATTTTTGATTAGCTCAAAATTTTTGAGAGGAAATCGATCGATCTTGAACCGACCTGGCCACCTTTCTTTGTTTTTGTCTAGAGTTAAAAATTTTAATCGATATCGTTGCAGTGCTTTCCAGATCGCTGATTTATAAAGAAAATCCTCCTCGCAACCAAGCCAGAATACAGCTTTTTTGGTTTGAATTTGGATTTGAGTTGATGTGGGTTTGAAATGTTCAATTTGAATTCAATTTGAAAAGGAAATCAAGCGCTTACCGCAAACAAATCTTCGCCAGAGTCCGAGTCGTCGAAAAGGCTTTTCGGCTTTGGAGAGCTTTTTGAAATCGATTTCTGAAAACTTACAAATGAATTTTTGAATTTGAATGAATGAATTTAAATGAGCTCTAGAATTTGAAAGAATTTTCGAATTCGAATTTCGAATAGCCAACTGTAGAGCTTCCTATTCGATAGCCGACTACTGGAGAGCTTCCTATTCGATAGCTGACTACTGTAGAGCTTCCTATTCGATAGCCGACTACAGAGCTTCCTATTCGATAGCCGACTACTGGAGAGCTTCCTATTCGAATAGCCGACTACTGGAGAGCTTCCTATTCGATAGCTGACTACTGTAGAGCTTCCTATTCGATAGCCGACTACTGGAGAGCTTGCTATTCGAATAGCTGACTACTGGAGAGCTTCCTATTCGATAGCCGACTACTGCAAAGCTTTAGCATTAGATTCGAGCTTAATTTGCATTAGTATTTTGGGCATTAGGCATAGCGCCTCCTGATGGCCGAAGCCGAAGCCGAACAATGACGGCCGAAGCGTCGCGTAGTCGAACTTTAAACGCATTTTTCTCGATCCCTGTTTATGCTACAGCGTTCGCTTAAGTATCAAATGAAAGCTGAAAGTCAGGGCTTTTTTTTTGATACCATGATCATTAACGAAATTCACCTCAACTCCGACTTTTCCTTGCGGTTGGAAGCCCGATGGTGGACGCTTCTGAATAAGTGTTCTTGAGAGAGATTTAGATCAATTTTCGTACTTTAACGTACTTTAAGCTTTCGTAAGCTTCAAACTTTAAGCTTCAAAACTCTTTTAAACACCCACAAATGCTTTTTGAGCATTTTTAAAACAAAATCTTCAACTTCTAACCGTTTTCTTCGCAAAAATTCAAACAGGAATTGAGTTAAGCGTAAAAATCTCGGAATCAAAGCGAGTTGAAATGGATTTTCTCCAAAATATTAGCGTTTCTGGATGTCAGGCTGAGAGAAAAATTGATAAAAATGGAAATTTAACGGAAATAGAAAAAGTCGTTCTCGACGATACGATTTTGGAGCAAAAAATCGGGTATTAGAGGGAAAAGCTTTATTTTTTTGACTGTAAAACTTGATTCTGGAGGTCACAGAAGCTGTGGATTAAAAAAGAATTTTAAAAAAAGAGAAAATAAAAAAAAATTTTTTTTACAGTTTGATCACTTTTTTTTGTTAAAATTTCAATTTAAAAAAAATTTGCTTTTTTAGATTTCTGTTTTGGAATGCACAAAAGGCAAAGACATAAGAAAAAGAGAAAAAAAACGTCTGGGAGGGGGTGGATATTTTGAAATGGAGATCTTCGAGAGCCGAGAGCCCACAGCCGATCGGAGGAGAAGATTTTGGGGGAAAAGAGAGGCAATGGGAAAGGAAAGAGGCGAAAACAATTGCCGCAACGAAAAACATGGATAGCACGGGAGCGATAAGAGAAAAGAAAAATAGGAAATTTTGAGTTTTGAAATTTTAAGAAAAATTTTGACAAATTGCAAATTGGGAAAAAATTGCATTGAAAAATTCTGCTCATATCCGATAAATGCCTAGCCTGAATTTCACTGTGACATCCAGAATGCTCAAATAGCTAATCAGAAATGAGATTGACAAGTTAGGCGAACTGGAAATGAGCCAAACTCGTTCCGACCCCAGCTTAGCTTTGATCTCCTCGGCCCAGCTTTGTTCTACCCGATAACTGGCTAGCCTGGATTTCACTGTGACATCCAGAATCACCAAATAACTGATTGGCAATGAAGTTGCCAAGTTAAGCAAGCTGGAAATGAGCCAAACTCGTTCCGACCTCGACCCAGACTTGAGGCTCTATAAAAAGTCGACATTTATTCAACATGAATAATGTGACACAAGCGAATCCACAACCCCTACCGCTCTAATACCATGTTGCAGAGAAAACCCCATTTATATGGGGAAAAGAGCCAAATAGGTTTCTAGCCGTTGGGATCGAACCCGTGACCTCTCGACTAGGATACGAGACGCCTAACAACCCGGCCATGGCGGCACTATCTTCTACCGTATAACTGCCTGGCCCAGATTTCGTTGTGACATCCAGAATGTCCAAATAACTAATCAGAAATGAGATTGGCAAGTTGGGCGAGCTGGAAATGAGCCAAACTCGTTCGGACCTCAGCTTAGCTTTGAGGCTTTATGTTCTGCCTGTTCAATTTCTGATAAAATAACTAAAATAATTTCACTATGATATCCAGAATGTCCAAATAACTAATCAGAAATTAAATTATCAAGTTGAGCGAGCTGGAAATGAGCCAAACTCCTTCCGACCCCAGCTTAGCTTTGATCTTCTCGGCCCAGCTTTGTTCTACTCTCTAACTGCCTAGCCCAGCTTTCACTGTGACATCCAGAATGCCCAAATAGCTAATCGGAAACGAGTTTGACAAGTTAGGCGAGCTGGAAATGGGGCGAACTCGTTTCAAACTGAACTCTAACAATAAAATGGGCTTAAATGCTTAAATACTTTTCTAGGTTTGCTGGAATACTGGAAACGGATATTTCCATTGGCTGAAGGCTGAGATTTTTTATTGAAAAAAGGCGAAATCCTGAGTATTTGATTCCAAAAATGAAACAGATGTTTTTTTGAAAAGAGAAAAAAAAATTACAGCCCTGAAATGCTTAAAAAATGTTTGAAATCGAGAAAATATTAAAATCGAGTCAATCCTTTAGTGGTTTAGAAGGCACAGAAAGTTTAGAAGCGAAAAGAGCTCGACGAAGCTGTTCTTTGAGATGACGAAAGACTTTGGACTTCAAATTTAGCTGTAGATTCTTTAAATGCAAATTTTTTCGTTTGCAAAATAAATTCTGGATGTCATGTAAAGGAAAAAGCTCAAAAAAATCGCTTCAAACTTGCAAAAAAAAATTGCACAAAATGGGTGGTAAGAGTTTGGTGCTCTCTAGCCTCTATCGCGTTTTAAATCGAGGAACTTTCAATCAAAAGTCTCAATCTGGAGCTCATGTAAGAGTTAGAAGCGAAAAAAAAGTTGGTCCAAGATGATCTTTGGAGGTGAGGTGGGAAGGGGTTGTGGGAGTTGAGTACCCGCATCTCGCCCACCCCCCCCCCACCCCTATCGCCTTTCCGCACCTCTTGTCTCTTTCCCTTTCTTTCTTTTCGCATTCTATTTGGGATGGACCTGCTACTTGAGATCACCTGAAACCTTTGGGGAAACGAAAAAAGTTAAATAAACATTTCCCGGGGTAATTGATTTTGTGAAAGTTTCGGATCGTCGAAAAGTCGAATTTTTTTCGGAAATATCGATTTCGACTTGAGATCTGGCCAAGCTGGAGGTCATTTTAGAAATTGGTTGAAAGAAAAAAGATGATTTCTGTTTTTTTAAAAATTTGAATTTAACTGAAGAAAAGGGTTGAATGCTAATTTCCTGATTAAATGCAAATCCTCCAATTAAATGCTAATTTTCCAGTTAAATGCTAAATTTCTGATTAAATGCTAATTTTCTAATTAAATGCTAATTTTCTGCTTAAATGCTAATTTCCCGCTTAAATGCTAATTTTCCGCTTAAATGCTAATTTTCTGCTTAAATGCTAATTTTCCAGTTAAATGCTAATTTTCTGATTAAGTGGTAATTTTTCTAAATCTAGTTTTCCTTCAAGATTTCAGCTCGACTATGTAAAGTGACTTCCAGATCACCGGAAAATGCGAATTTTGAGGCGGATTTGTGTTTTGATTGAGTCTAAAAGCTTAGGATCAACGATGAACAGAGATGGAAAATTTAATTTAGCTTCAAATGCAAAAATTTCATAGCCAATATGTAAAGTGACTCCCAGATCGCGAAAAAAAGTGGATGGATTTTTGATTTTTCTTCAAAACAGAATTTTTTTCGATGATCTGGACCGGGGAGAGATGTGTGCATAAACAATGAGTCATACTTCATATTTTTTTAAATGGATCGTGAAAATGAGAGAAAAACGGAAAGGGATGATAAAAGGATTCATAAAATAACAAAATTTTTTCTTTTTTTTGAAAAAAATCGACTTCTAAGCTGTTCGATTTCGAAAATGACGATTTTGAGTAAACGCACAGCTTCTGGTGCACTGGATTTCATTTTTGATATCGGGATTTTAAAAGCTGGAACGCACGAAAGGCACTTGCAATGAAAAAAAGGAAAACTGAAAACTTTTGGTTGTTTGAGGGTAAATGAACCGGCTTCTAAAAAGCAGCCAGAAATGGGAATTTGGAATTGGTTGCGATTGGATTTTTTTTAAAAATCAGCGATCTGGAAGGCATTTCATCGATATCGATTCAAATTTTTGGCTTTAGACAAAAATAAAGAAAGGTGCTTTGGTCTGGTTCAAGATCAATCGATTTTCTCGCAAAATTTCAAGGTAACCAAAAAAGTTTTTCGTGTAAAGCCCAGTTCTGGAACACACAGAACAAGAAAATATCAAAAGATTTTGGGAATTCGACGTTTTGAGCAAGGTGGGAATTGGAGGATATAGACGAGGCTTGTTTTTGCGAAAATTTCGAGGTAACTAAAAAATCTTTCCCCATAAATCCTGGTTCTGGAACGCACAGAAAAGAAAAATTGCATAGCGTTGGATTAGAAGAATTTTCTGGTTTGGTTTGGAGAAAGGTGGCCAGGTCGGTTCAAGATCAATCGATTTTCTCGCAAAATTTCAAGGTAACCAAAAAAGTTTTTCGTGTAAAGCCCGGTTCTGGAACGCACAGAACAAGAAAATAACAAAAGTTTTTGGGATTTCGACCTTTTAAGCAAGGCGGAATTGAAGAATCTAGACGAGGCTTGTTTTTGCGAAAATTTCGAGGTAACTAAAAAATTTTCTTCGTCTAAATCCCGGTTCTGGAACGCACAGAGCAAGAAAATCTCAAAAGTTTTTGGAAATTCAAAATTTAGAGTGTTTACAGGAAATCGATGTGATTTTTGGGTGAATTGAGAGATTTTCGGGACGAAAACGACTGAGTGAGAGTTTCCTTTCACATTTTTTTTCACAACCGTCTCCTCCCCACTCTTCTAGAGGGGAGAGACCCGGCAGAGTCTCTTTTTTCGTTTTTCTTTTCAGCGATTTCCCTTTCCAAACCCGATTTCTCGGTCTTGGCACTTGAAAATTTGGAATGGAACGGTTTAACTCTTGTATTTTTTAGTTAGATTTAGAGTTAGAGTTCGAAAAATGGGCTTTCTGGAATGCACACTAGTATCTTGAGTGAATCAGAGCTAAAGATTCAGGGGTTTCTAAAGGTTAAGCTCAATCGCCAGTTCAAGTTCATAGCGAAAGAAAGGCGAAAATGTATCAGAATCGGTTTTTAATTTCTTTCGAAACTCAATGCTGGATAGCATTGCGGGTTTTGAATCATTTGGAAAAGGTCGATCTTCGATTTTTTTCAAAACAGTACAGGTGGTTCCGGTTCTGGATCATCGGCATATCACGGGATCACGAATTCGCAAAGTTTCTAATTCTTGCGAAACCAAAAAGCTAAAAAGCACCTGTGCCATCCAGATTGCCGTAATCTCTGAGAAAAATATGCAAATTTTACTTGGATATGAGATAAACTAGCGTCCAGACGTTTTGGAGTACGGTAGTTTTAGGTGTTTTTGCCGCTTTTTAAAATTCGGACTCAAGCTCTTTTTTAAAAGCACCCGTGACATCCAGATTACTGTAATCTCAAAGAAAAATTTGCGAATTTCACTTGCAAATGAGATAATTTAGCGTCCAGACGTTTCGGGGTACGGTAGTTTTAGGTGCTTTTTTTGAAAAGCAGTCAAAAACTCTTTTTAAAAAGCACCTGTGACATCCAGATTACCGTAATCTCGAGGAGAAATAGGCAAATTTTACTTGGATATGGGATAAACCAACCTCCAGACGTTTCGGGGTACGGTAGTTTTAGATGCTTTTTGCCGCTTTTTAAAATTCGGACTCAAGCTCTTTTTAAAAAGCAGTGGTGACATCCAGATTACCGTAATCTCAGAGAAAAATGTGTCAATTTTACTTGGATATGGGATAAACTAGCGTCCAGACGTTTGGGGGTACGGTAGTTTTAAGTGCTTTTTACCGCTTTTTAGAATTCGGACGCAAACTTTTTTTAAAAGGCACCTGTGACATCCAGATTACCGTAATCTCGCGAAAAAATACGCAAATTTTGGAATGGAAAATAATAAAACATCTTTTTAAAAATTTCCCAAAATGGATTTTCCCGGTAACTGAAAAACAAGAATGAGACGAAATCGACAAAATTTTTCAAAAATTTAAAGAATTAGAACTCCAGCTGTGTACCAAAAGACTCTTTTTCTTTTTCTCTGAAAAGTTTCCCAATAGCAATCGAAAAGTCGTAAGTTACAACCGCTTTAGCCCTTTTCCCAGCCCCTCCCGTTGACTTTTACACAATGAGTCTAGTCAAAGAGGTTGATCAGCCCGAGATCGGTCTGCGTTCCGGAAATTACAATCATTGGCTCATGTGCGTTCCAGCTTGGATAGGGAAGTGGTCAGATTTGCACAAGAGTGAAATTGGACCTTGTAGAGCTGAGGTACAAGTCAAAAAAGTATGATAGTCTAGATTTGGTCTAGGAATTGTAATTTTTGGGTTTTTAGCGAATGTGCGTTCCAGCTTGGATAGAAAAGCGGTCAGATTTGATCAAGAGTGAAATTAGGCGAAGAGACTGGGGTACGAGTCGTCTCCAAAACTATGATCGTCTCAAAATGGTCTAGGAATTGTAATTTTTGGGTTCTTAGCTCGTGTGCGTTCCAGCTTGAACCAAGAAGTGACCAGATTTGCTCAATAGTGAAACTGGGCAAGTATAGAGCTGTGGTACGAGTCGACTACGAAGTGATAGCCTCGATATGGTCTAGGACCTCTAATTTTTGGGTTTTTAGCTCATGTGCGTTCCAGCTTGGATAGAGAAGTGGTCAGATTTGCTCAAGAGTGAAATAGAGCTGAGGTACCAGTCCAGTCCGAAAACGGTCAGCTTCAAAGCCTTCAAAGGTGTGCTGGGAAACGAAATTCGCTCATTTCTAGCTCATTTGCCTTCCAGATTGCCCAATTTTCTTCAAAAAAGCTGAATTTCTTACCTTTATCGCCGAAAACAGATCATCATCCGAGTCCGAGTCGTCGAAGAGGCCTGTTTTCCTCACCGACACTTTTATTGGCTTCTTTTCCACCGATTCGACGACTTTTTGCCTTAAATTCAAATTCTGGATGTCACTCTACCTATTTCTCACTTTTCCGCCACTTTTTCAACTTTTTCAGCCTCTTGGGGTACTGCAGCTGGCGGAGGGGGTACGGTAGTTCGCTTTTGTCTAAAGAACGGTATTTTTCAGTCATTTTTTAAGGAAACTCACTTTTCATCGATTTTTTGTGCATTTTGAGAAGGTGGTTTTGATCTGAAATGGATTTTTGACTTCAACTTGGGTAATTGAACCAGCTACAACCGGAGTTCGCAAAATTTCAAATTCTTGGGAAACCACGAAGCTAAAAAGCACCCGTGACATCCAGCTTACCGTAATCTCAGAGAAAAATGTGCCAATTTTACTTGGATATGGGATAAATTGGCGTCAAGACGTTTGGGAGTACGGTAGTTTTAGGTGCTTTTGCCACTTTTTGAAATTCGTACTCAAGCTCTTTTTAAAAAGCAGTGGTGACATCCAGATTACTGTAATCTCGAGGAGAAATAGGCAAATTTTACTTGGATATGGGATAAAACAACGTCCAGACGTTTCGGGGTACGGTAGTTTTAGGTGCTTTTTGAAATTCCGTCTCAAACTCTTTTTAAAAAGCACCGGTGACATCCAGATTACCGCAATCTCCCAGAAAAATGTGAAAATCTTACTTGTTAATCGGGTTTTCTGGAGGCAAAGGCGTTTCGGGAACGGTAATCGGAGCGCTTTTTGTCGCCGAGGCTTGTTTCGCTTTCGAAGCGGCCACTTTTTGGGCCTAAAATAAATGCAAATTGTTTAGCTAAATATTTTAAAGCTTACAGCAATCGTAAAGAGGTCCGAGTCGGAGTCGCTGTCGTCGAAAATCGATTTTTTAACTGGAGCCGCGGTGGTGGTTGGGGGAATTTTCTAAAATAAGATTTATGCAAATGTAAATATGCAAATTTGTTAAGTGACTTCCAGAATGAGGAGTGCAAAAAGAATTTTTATGAAATGCTAATCTTTAACCCACTTTTTCGGGAGCTTTCGTTTCCTGCTTTAGTGCCTTCTGAAAATTAGCATTTAAGCAAAATGTAAATATGCAAATTTGTCAAGTGACTTCCAGAATAACGAGTGCAAAAAGAATTTCGGCAAAATTCAAATTTTCAACCCACCTTTTCGAGGTCAACCTTGTTTTGAGGGTTTTGGGGTACGGTAGTTCCCGTCGAAACTTTTCCGGGGTACTGTACGTCGGGGTTTGGTCTAAATTTTCAAAATTCTAACTTGCCCCTTGAAAACCAACGCTTGAAAATGGGAAATGGGGGTTTTTGCGGTTCCCGTTTCTCTTCGTGACTTCAAATTCGTGGTGGCGCTGAAATAGTGAATAAGGATTAAAGATTTGTGCGATCTGGAGCTCACAGCAGCTAATGGCTAAGTTAGAAATGCTTTTTGAGAAAAACGAGAAAAGCGGCGGAAAGGCTATTGATCTGAGGGTCGCTGGTTCGACTCCCACCGGTGACAATATTTTTCAAAAATTTTTTGCTAAGATTCTGAAAATGCGTGTCTAGGGGTTATTTTTGACGCTGATCACGAAAAACATGTTTTTAGCCTAGGTTTCCGCACGGAAAACTGACGAAACGTGAAAACAGCCATTTTTTCGCCCTTTACTAAAATAGCTGTAAAAACTTTTAGAAAAGAGATATCTCAAAACGGTTTTTACCAATCGATCCGTCTTGAATTCAGCTTTAGGATGAGCTATAAAACGTCAAAATTCGACAAATTTAAGGTACTCTCCCAAAAAATCGGAAAGGACTTTTCCACCAACCCAATAAACCGACCAACCCAACAGTCTGAAATCAAAGATTTTTGCAATCTGGAGCTCACAGCAGCTAATGGCTAATTTAGAAATGAAAAATTCTTTAATTTGAAATATTTTAATTTGAAATTTGAAATATTTTAATTTAAAATTTGCAAAATCGTTTTTTTTAACGCCAAATTCGCTCAAATTGCCATCAGATTTTAGAAAATTTCTAAAAAATACGCAACAAGAAACCTCAGAACATCGGCCAAACTCGGCACGAAGGTGTTTGTGGGCGGGGCGTCGCCTGGGAGCTGAAACTTTTAATTCCTGAAGCTCATGAAATGAGTTCATCGCTAAAACTGTTCGATTTTTAACGTAAAACTTTAAATTCTTAATTTCGGCAGGCTTTCTGGATGTCACTAGACACAATTCAATAAGTGAAATCAGCAAAAAATGAATTCAAAAAATTCGAATTTTTGATGCGTACGACTCTGAGAAAATTCTAGCAATTTCTGTGGATAGATTATAAAAATTTGCATTTAAAGCCCGATTTCTGGATGTCACTAGACATAATTCAGTCATTAAAATCATCAAAAAATCAATTTGAAAAATTCGACTATTTCTTGCGTACGACCCTGAGAAAATTCTAGCAATTTCTGTGGCCAGATATAAAAATTTGCATTTAAAACCCGCTTTCTGGATGTCACTAGACACAATTCAGTCATTAAAATCTACAAAAAATGAATTCAAAAATTCGACTATTTCTTGGGTACGAGTCTGCGAAAATTCTAGCAAATTCTGAGGAAAGATTATAAAATTAGCATTTAAAGCCCGATTTCTGGAGTCACTAGACAATCCCTAAACCCAATTGATGACTATTTCTTGGGCGAGAAAATTCTAGCCATTTCTGTGGATAGATTTAAAAATTTGCATTTAAAACCGACCTTCTGGATGTCACTGGACAAGTCGTTTGGCTCAGCTTCGAGATTTTTGATCACTTCGGTCGTCGGTTCGTCGTCTACCGGCTCGTCCACAGGCTCAACAACGAGAGGCACTGGCTCGGTCGATTTCTTCGAGCTGCTCGATCGGTCGAATGGAGACTCACTTTTGGCGGCCACGTGGCGTTTCTGGAATGAAATTTCTGGAGTTTTCTGGAATTTTCTGGAATTCCAGGCTATTTTTGGATAACTGAACCAAGAAAAAAGTAAAAAAATGTACAAAAGCTGATTCTAAAAGTCTAAAAGTCTTCTGTGCTATCCAGATCGCTCAAAACTTGTTTTTCTTTCTGCTTTTTAAGTCAAGATCTTCAATATTTGAGTCAGGAAGCGTTTGCACTCACAGCCTGCGCAAAAATATCGTCCTCATCGTCCTCATCGTCTTCCGAGTCGAACAGGGTTGAGCGTTTTGGGAGCTGGGCAGGGAGAGATGGAACTGGAGGGATTGGCTGGGGTTTTCTGGAAATAAAAAAGGATGGTGTTGGGTAATTGAACCAGCTACAACCCGAGTTCGCGAAATTTCAAATTCTTGCGAAACTAAAAAGCTAAAAAGCACCTGTGATATCCAGATTACCGTAATCTCAGAGAAAAATGTGTCAATTTTACCTGGATATGGGATAAACTAGCGTCCAGACGTTTGGGGGTACGGTAGTTTTAGATGATTTTTGCCGCTTTTTAAAATTCGGACGCAAACTCTTTTTAAAAGGCACCTGTGACATCCAGATTCCCGTAATCTCCCGGAAAAATATAAAAGCCTTACTTGTCAATCGGGTTCTCTTGAGGTAAAGGCGTTTCAGGGGCGTTAATTGGAGCACTTTGGAGCGGTGCTGAGACAAAATTCTCTAAAAAATTCAAAATCGATAAATTTCTTTATTTTCACCTGAATTTCCCTCAATTTTTCCAATCTCTTTCGGTTTTTCGGTTTTTTTCGTTAAAACAAAGGTTTCTCGTTGAAAATCGACGCTTCCGATCATTGGTGGCAAATTGAATTCCTGCAAAATTTGCATACAAATTGAATTCCTTCAAAATTTGCATACAAATGAAATTAGAATTCGAAAATTTACGTTTAACTTCAAAATACTGATAAAAGCGTTTTAAAAGCGTTTTAAAAGCTTCTGTGAGCTCCGGCTTGAACTCACCCCTCTTCCCAGTCCGATCTCTCCACTCACAAAACCGATGCCGCCTCGGATCGCCGATTTGATCGAGTCGATCGTCTCTGTCTGGTTCTGTTGCATCGTTTTCTGAAATAAAACAAAAATTTTGGCGATCTGGAGCGCACAGCAGGATTTAAACGAATTCCCGAACCATTGGGCCAACATCGGAATTGATCGGTCGGAATTGATCGTCCTCAGAGATTTTCTGGAATTGTTAAAACTGAGAATTGGTTTTTGATTTAAATTTGGTGATTCTGGAGCGCACAGAGCATTTCTATCGTTTAAGAATTTTGATGAAGCACCTGTTCGACGAATTGCCGACTCGCCAGCAGATCCAAGTGCCCGTTGATCGCCTCGATGCCGACGTCGATCTCGGTGATCTGAAAATTGGGGAAATCGAGGGGTTTACGTGGCCTGCACTCCAGTTTGAGCAAATTCACTCACATTTCTCGTCATTGTCCCTAAACGCTCCTCCAAGGCTCCCGTCCTCTGCTGGAGCATCTGGGAGAAACCCTCGAACATCGAGCAGAGCTGAAATTTTCACCGAAAACTTTTGATGTGACTTCCAGATTGAGCAATTCTTTTAAAAAAAATTAAATGTTAATTTAAATATGCAAATTTTTTCGGTCAGATCAAATTTTAACCAAAATGCCCTTTTCTAAAAATGAAAATTTGAAAGTAAAAATAGTTAAATTAGCTAAAGTGACTTCCAGATCGACCATTTCTTTTAAAAAAATTAAATGTTAATGTTAATATGCAAATTTTTTTGGTCAGTTCAAATTTTAACCAAAATGCCTTTTTTAAAAATGAAAATTTGAAAGTTTAAAAAGTTAAATTAGCTAAAGTGACTTCCAGATCGATCATTTCTTTCAAAAAAATTTGACTTTACTTTTAAAATGAACATTTCCCACCTGTGAGTCCTCTGCCAGGGTCCAGTGGCCGGCTTTAGCGCGCAGCTGCTCAAATTGTGAGCTCATTTTCGAGGGATTGCACAGATTCGATTAGAAATTGTAGAAATCTATTATAGGATTATTATATGGAAAGCTGGTTTGATAGGGAAATATTGGACGAGGCTATAAACTACAAAAATTTCCTTTTTCTCAGTCTCTCTTTTTTGACTCGATCTATCACCGAAAGGGGCGCATTTTAGCAAAAAAAGATTAAAGATAAAGAAAAAGATTTAAAAAATTAGTTCTCAAAGCAAATGGTAAACAATTTGAGCAAAAATCGAGCAAAAATTGAAACAAAATCCCCTTTGGAACGTGTTCGCCTTTGAATTTCGAGTTTCGCTTTGAAATTTGCATTTTTGAAGGCAGCAAGCTTCGATCTGGATGTCAGGATCGGTACTTTTTTGAAGCAGGAGCTTTTTTGATCAAGAAACAATTCAATTTACGTCAAAATCAGACTTCGAGACCAAAACTAGCTCTGTGCTTTGAAATTTGCATTTTTGAAGGCAGCACGCTCCGACCTGGATGTCAGGATAGGTAATTTTAAAATTTCAATATCAAATTACGATACTTTCAACATGGCGCAGTCGGTAGAGCTTTAGACTGGCGAGCGGAGGGTCGAAGGTTCGACTCCCCGGCACGGAATCTTTTTGTTTTTTGTAAAATTCTTGCATAAAAATGTGTGCTGATATCCAGGATGCACTTTGGTTTTGGTTTTTATAGAAATTACATCAGAGAAAAGCCGAAAATTCCCTTTGGAACGTGTTCGCTTTTGAATTTCGAGTTTCGCTTTGAAATTTGCATTTTTGAATGCAGTAGGCTTCGATCTGGATGTCAGGATAGGTAATTTTAAAATTTCCAGCTCAAAATACGACACTTTCAACATGGCGCAGTCGGTAGAGCGTTAGACGGGCGAGCGGAGGTCGAGGGTTCGACTCCCCGGCCCGGAAACGTTTTGGTTTTTGTAAAATTCTTGTATAAAACATTTAAAAAAAACCTTTCTTAGTTGACTTAAGACTTTTCTTTGAGTCATTTACGCAAAAAATGACATTTTCACATGCCCAAAACAGAGCCTTGAGCTTTCGAGACAATTTTGGACTTTTTTCGCTTTAGGAAGCGAAAAATCAACTAACTCAAGTACGGATCTGGAAGTCACGACAGCGATTAGCCCGTGTGAAATTGGAAAAATTCAGCTTTTATTCAACAAGTTTAGTCGAGCCACTTTTCTCGTTTTCCGGTGAAACTTTTCGGAGAATTATTTCTTTTTTGCACGTTCTGGATATCAGGACACATTTTTATGGAAGAATTTTCCAAAAAACAAAAAGTTTCCGTGTTGGGGAGTCGAACCCTCGACCCTTCGCTCGCAAGTCTAACGCTCTACCGACTACGCCAAGTTGAAAATCTAGTATTTTGAGCTGGAAATTTTAAAATTATCTTTTCTGACCTCCAGATCAAAGCGTACTGTAGGCAAAAATACAAATTTCGAAGCGCAACTCGAAATTCAAAGGCGAACACGTTCCAAATGGAATTTTCGGCGGTTTTCTTTCAAAAATTTGCAATATTTGATTTTATTCACTTTTTTTGGACCACCTACCGTAAATACTGTAATTGGATCCCATGGGGTACTATTTTTTTCCTCCCCCTCTAGGGTGGGGTACTATTAGAGGGTGGGGCACTATTAGAGGGTGGGTTACTATTTTACACCACTATTCAAATTACCAAATCAGGACACATTCAAATAAAAAAGCAAACTTTCCAAAGCAAATTTTTCTTTAGTTTTTATTGGTTTTAACCATTTGAAAATTTAACAGTAAAACGAAACAAAAATAACTAACAAGCGAAATCAATAGAAACATCCAAATCAATGAATTCATCATTTGCATGATCATCAATTCCTCGATGTCCTTGAAATCCCGTCGATGCGATCGGCCCCAAGAGGTCCTCGATTTCCGTGTCTGTCCGATTTCCATCTCTGATCTCTAACACAAACTTCTTTGGCTCCAACCGCTTCGATGCACTTGCTCGCCGAAGCATCCAGCCAAACCGCCGTCTCATCGCAAGCAACAATGTGCTTGTAATCGCCTTCTTTGATTGTCTTGTTCAGCCTCAGAATGTGCTCGACGATGGCCTTCTCAAATTCGCTCGGCAGCTTTTGACAAGTTGTTGTTGGTGCCCTCAAAGAAAGTTGGTGGCGACCTCAAGAACGACCTCAAGACCTCAAGAACGACTCCATCCAGCCACGGGTTCTTTTGAAAGAAATTTCAGCTTTTTCGAATCGATTAGCCGCTTCATTCCAGATAATCCGGCGTGTCACTCGTTTCTTCTCCGCTCGACGATCCCGTATCCATTCAGCCAAACCGATATCAATCCCCTCCGAGTTCAAGTGGCGTCCGGCTCCATTGGGTCTCTTGCGTTTTCCGTGGACTTTCTCGAGCTCGATTTCTTGTTTGATGTAGGAACGCACACATTTTTGATCAATCTTATAGAATGCAGCAGCTGCTTTAATCGAAACATCATTGCCCATCTTTGCAAAAAAAGGGGGGTGGCTACTCTTTGCGCAACTTGCCATAACTTTCTTCTAAGTGGGCCAATCTTTATGATTTTGGTGTTACTTTGTTGCACTTGTTGAGATCTACAATCATAAAGATTGGCCCACTTAGAAGAAAGTTATTGCGAGCTGCGCAAAGAATTTGGCGCAAAGTAGCTACCCCAAATTTAAAAACAACAAATTTATGGGATAAAATTAAAAATACAAACGATTTCTCAAAATACATGAAAATTTTCCGCTTTAAAAGCGTTGTTTGTAATTACGCGTTAGGTGGGGGTGGGGTACTATTAGAGGGGTGGGGGGGGGGGGGGGGGGTACTATTAGAGGGAGGGGGTGGGGTCCAATTACAGTATTATTTACGGTGGGTTCTATTCCGGGGCGTATGAACATATTTCCTTTGTCTTATTCACTGCCAGATCTGCCTCGAAACTTAAAAACACAAGCGATTTTGACCAACTCTGCAAACACACCCTTTTGTGGTTACATTTCCGCAGCAAATTGTATAATTTTCGCGAAACTATTGACATCGGATTGTTCACATGAAAAAGTGGCGTTTCGATGACAAATCGATGCCTTCATCATCATCCAAAAAAAAATTCCCGGCATTGTTTAGTTGAGTCACGTTTCTCGTTTTTCCATGAAACTTTTGCTGGTTTTGTTTGTGAAATCGTACAATCTGGATGTCAGGACACAATTTGAAACAATACTTTTTACAAAAGCAAGAAGTTTCCGTGCAGGGGAGTCGAACCCTCGACCCTCGGCTCTCCAGTCAAACGCTTTACCGACTGCGCCATGTTGAAAATTTGGTTTTTTGATATGGAAATTTTATTTTTATCTATCCTGACATCCAGATCGAAGTCTACTGTAGTCAAAAATACAAATTTCAAAGCACAGAGCTAGTTTTGGTTTCGAAGTCTGATTTTGATCTCAATTGAATTGTTTCTTGATCAAAAAAGCCCTTCCCCACAGTCTGATGTCGCAAAATTGAATATTCATAATTTTCCGAGCATCGCTTTTGTCTATCAATGGCCCCGACTGTCACTGAATGAAAGAAAAAGAGCGTTTCGCGTTCGCAGCTTAAAAAACGGTTAATGAAAAAGAAATCGAAAAAATTTCAACGAAAACCTTAGATCTGGATATCACTTAGTACTTTCATTTGTTTAGTTACAATTTTTAAGCACGAATTGCTGGCACAGTTTTGGCGTTGGAGTTTGACCGGAAAAAGGTGACGAAAGCACCGATTTTCTTCAAAATTAGCATAAAAATGGGAATCCTGGAGCGCACAGTGTCATCTAAAATCAAAATGAGCTCAAAAAAACCATTTGGAAAATTTTATGAAGCTGCTAGGTCCATTTTTATTCAATTTTCCAATTTGCATCTCAAATTTTCATTTCAAATTTGCATATTTCTGATTGAATCGCTTTTGTGCGTTCCAGATTGTCGTTTTCTTATATAAAATTTCCTTTTTCACTTCATAAACCCGAATTTTTCGTTGAGAAGTCAATTTTGGCACTTTCGTTTACTAAAACTTCTCAATTTTCCTCGAAAATTTCCCCATTTCTTTGAAAGCCTCGCTTTTTCTGTGATTACAATTCGCGAATGAAGCGATTTCGCCACGGAATGGTGAGCATTTTGAATAGCGGCCGGGCAAAGAGACGGCCGGGCAAAGATTCATTAGTTTCCCATGCAAATTGTAAAGATCGGCAAAAGTGAAAAGCGGGGGGCTTTTGGTGGCTCTTGTGCCATCCAGGATGCACTTTGATTTTGTTTTTTATAGAAATTACATCAGAGAAAAGCCGAAAATACCATTTGGAACGTGTTCGCCTTTGAATTTCGAGTTGCGCTGTGAAATTTGCATTTTTGACTACAGTAGGCTTCGATCTGGATGTCAGGATAGATAATTTTGAAATTTCCAGCTCAAAATACGACACTTTCAACATGGCGCAGTCGGTAGAGCGTTGGACTGGAGAGCGGAGGGTCGAGGGTTCGACTCCCCGGCACGGAAACTTTTTGTTTTTTGGAAAATTCTTGCATAAAAATGTCTCCTGATATCCAGGATGCACTTTGGCTTTGTTTTTTTTCGAAATTACATCAGAGACAAGCCGAAAATTCCCTTTGGAACGTGTTCGCCTTTGAATTTCGAGTTTCGCTTTGAAATTTGCATTTTTGAAGGCAGCAAGCTTCGATCTGGATGTCAGGATTGGTACTTTTTTTGAGCAGGAGCTTTTTTGATCAAGAAACAATTCAATTTATGTCAAAATCAGACTTCGAGACCAAAACTAGCTCTGTGCTTTGAAATTTGCATTTTTTGGATCCAGCACGTTTCGATCTGGGTGTCAGGTTAGGTATTTTTAAAATTTCCAGCTTAAAATACAGTACTTTCAACATGGCGCAGTCGGTAGAGTGTTAGACCGGAGAGCGGAGGGTCGAGGGTTCGACTCCCCAGCACGGAAACTTTTTGTTTTTTGGAAAATTCTTTCATAAAAATGTGTCCTGATATCCAGAACGTGCAAAAAACAAATAATTTCCCGAAAAGTTTCAACGGAAAATGAGAAAAGTGGCTCGACTAAATTTGTTGAATAAAAGCTGAATTTTTCAAATTTCACACGTGCCAATCGCTGTCGTGACATCCAGATTTGTATTTGAGTTGCTTTATTTTTCCTTTCCTAAAGGGGATAATCCGAAAATCCTTCAGAGTCTTTGAGTTTCTCGTTCTCGGGGAAAAGAACACCCTTTCTTTTCCGTCTTTTTTTGCGATCACTACTACGATTTTTCCCCCGGCTAAAGCCAATTGATTTGACCCGATTACACACCACCATTGGGTTGATAAGTGAGTGCCTTGAAAGAATTTTTTATCAGGACAAGTGTACAAGTGTCTGGGGGTGGCTGACTAGGAGAGAAAGTGAATTTGAAAAATCACCAATCTTATGCTGTTGTACAGTACTGTAAGCGCTAGGGTCTCTGCTTTTCAATACCGTCTTTATCTTCCCCAGATTTGGACCTCATTATCAATCGGCTCCAGTCTCCAGTTCCAGTCTCATCTCCAGTTCCTTTTCCTCTCCCAGTCTCCCAGATTGTCTCCAGTCCCAGTCTCATCCCATTTAGCTACCCAGTACTCCTCCAGTTCAACTCAGCTCAGGATTCCTGTCCCTGCCTTTCCTCACAGCTACCCAGGACTCCTCCAATGCTTCAGTACTCCTCCAGCTCAACTCACAGCTCCAGTGGATTCCTGTGCTTGCCTTTCCCAGTCGCAGACCCTCCCGTTTACCCAGAGTAGCCTCTCGGGTAGTCCAGTAGTCCCTTGCCCTTACTCCTCCCCATTCTCAGACCCGATTTGTCAGGGAGCGGGGAGGGGGACCTTTTAGCCCCAATGGGGGTCGTTGTCGTTCGTTCGTTCCTCTTAGTCTAGCCCTCGTTCTAGCCCTTGGTCCTACCCCTACTCTAGCCTACACTGACCTGTTCTGCCTCTACCCTACCCTATCCTACCTATCCTACCCTGACCCTATCCCACCCTATCCTACTCTATCCTACCCCGACCCTATCCCGCCCTATCCTACTCTATCCTACCCTATCCTACCCCGACCCTATCCTACCCCAACCCTGTCCTCCCCCCTTTGGCCCCCTCCACTCCTTCCTCCTCTATTCCTTCCCCTTCCCCTCTACCCCTTCCTCCTCTACCCCTTCCCCCTCCACTCCTTCCCCTTCCCCCTCTACCCCTTCCCCCAGCGAATGATAGTCGCCGCTCGTTGCACCGCCGATTGCCGAGCCGCGGCGACTGATACTGATAGATCGCTTGATCGCAAGAAACGCTGGTCGGCACGACGCTTAGGGAGACACTTTGTGGAAGAGAATAGAGAGATTATCGAGGCGACGAGACAGTTCCCTCTTTCTCTCACCCGTCCACCCCAAAACCCACTCCATCACTCCCAATGCCCTCCAGGACCCCTCCTCTTTTCTCCAATGTCTCGTAAACTTGCACAGGGAAAGAGGAACACAGGGAAAGAGGAAAAGCGGTAGTCGCCCGTAGGGGTTGTCCTCGTAGGGGTAGACCTCGTAGGGGTAGTCCGCTGGAGTGACCACCAGATGGTCATCCTCAGTGTCTGTTCTAGACGCAGACAGGCAAAGAGATTTAAAGAATAAGGATTTTCGAGAGAGATTCAGGCGGTGTGCAGGCAGGCACATCGCGGCACGGCCACGCCCCTCACCCGCGCCGCGTTGGTCAGTCGCTCCTTTTCGGCCTCGCCACCACCCCGCCGACCCAATCGACCCGATTTTCTATTTTGATTATTCCCCCTGTGCTCCAGCATCGGCAAATTGTTGGAGATTTTTGGCGAATCTGTAATTCCGACGCTAGAAATCGACCAGTCCTGTGATTTTCTTGATTTTCCTCGAACCATTTTTGCTATTTGCATTCAAAATCGTTTATGATTTCTTCCCGCAAGCCCCAGGGCAAGACGATTAACCCGTAGATCCGAATTAGTGTTAGATTTCTCAGAGAAAACGCTATTTCCATCTCGGGTCAGTCGCTCTGTCCAGACCAAACCAGACCAGTCGATTTTCTTGCTTTCACTAATATAAAAGAATCAATTTGCATTTATAAACGTTCTATCTGGATGTCACAGTACCCATCTACATATCTAAATTTTTAAAAAAATCATTTTAAAACTTTTTAAAAATCTATTTTTACTTTTTAGCTGTTTGCTAAAATGCACCTGATTGATTTTACTAAAATGTGCTTTTTTTATTTAAAATTGATGCCTATTCACTAACGTGCATTCCAGCTTGAAAAAAGGGTTACGGTAAGTGGGTCAATTTTTATCTGATTGTCAATAAATTCGTTCAAATTTCTTCAGCACAAGAAAAGCTCAAGTTCCGTAAATTTTCTTTTCGTTTTTTTGATTGATTAAAGAATTATGGATGTCACAGCGATTACTATACTATAAGGATTACTGTAAGGACATGTTTTAGCAAAAAGTGCAAACTACAGTAAGACCCGGACTACTGTAGCTGGGTTAAAATAAAATTAGAATCAAAATTTCACAGCCATTCTTCCTAGTGCCTTCCAGCTTGCACGAAAAACCCTTCCAAATCCGTTAGCAGTTTGATGGTATCAGCGCTAGGGCTACGGTAGCGCGGAGACTCCGTGGCGTGACCCCATGGCGCTGAGGACAGGCTGGAAAGGGGAAAGACGAGCGGGAAAAGAGTCCGGTCACCCGCCAAACGCCTCGAGCGGGGTCAGCCGGTGACCTCGACGGGGAAAAAGGGGCAAAAAGGGGAAAGGGGATGACCCGGTCCCCTGGTACCCCTAGTACGATCCCCCCAACCCCGATTCCCCCCAGGCTATCCCCTTTTTCGTGTCAATCGATTGTGTGCGCTCCAGTTCGTTGACTCTCGTGCATTCCACTGCTCGTTAGCGAGCGATTTAGCCAAGGAAATTGATGAACATTTGAGTGGAGCATTCTTGAGAAACAGCGGAAAGAATTAAGGGCTTTTGTAGATGATAACTAGCTTAAACTTTGCTTAATTCTATGCAAATATGGGTTATTGATAGAATTTGCGTATTTTCTAGACGATTACGGTAGCTAAGAAGCAAAAGCAGAGGCTAAGGGGTACTGTAGAAGAGTTCGACTGTTTAACTTTTTTTGGATCATCAGATTTCTTTAATTTTCTTTTTTTTCGACAATCTGGAACGCACATGACATTTCAAAGCAATTAGATTTTTGATTTAAAAAAATTTGGCTGTTTCCTAAAAGGTGCTCTTTTCTAAAAGGCGTTCTTTTCTAAAAGGTGCTCTTTTCGATAAGGTCAAATCTCGATATTTACATTTGATAACTATCTAGGTAGCGCCTGTGACATCCAGATCGAAAATCGTACTGTGAAAGATATTCAGTTAATATAGCTAAAGGTGAGATCTTCAGTCAACAAATTTCAAGATATTCAGTTAACTCAAAAGTTGTCATTTCTCTTTTCTGGCTTTCCCAATCGATCGTGTGCGCTCCAGATTGCCTTTTCTGTAAATTTCAGCCCTGCAAAAGCATCTCAGCGGCGGGCCAGCGTTTGGTCTCGATTTCTAGACTTGAAACTCGTAAACTTGATATCTAGACTTTAAAACCAGCTAGATAGCACCTGTGACATCCAGATCGAATATCGTACTGTAAAAGATATTCAGTTAATATAGCTAAAGGTGAGATCTTCAGTCAACAAATTTCAAGATATTCAGTTAACTCAAAAGTTGTCATTTCTCTTTTCTGGCTTTCCCAATCGATCGTGTGCGCTCCAGATTGGCTTTTCTATAAATTTCAGTCTTGCACAGGCGCCACTGGGAGGCACAGTCCCCCCAGCGACGCTTTATCTCGGCTTGCAATCATATAGTATCGACCCCTCCAGTCCCCCTTGTTCCCCAGCCACTAAACTATCGAGTGATATGAAAAATAGCGTCCTCTGGAATGCAGGGAATATTGGAGAGTACAGAAAAACGATTTGTAAGGCTCGAAAAAAATGATAAGCAATGCCGTTGCAGGGCTGGCGATCTTTGGCAACCGTTTTTACGGGTTCGACTCGAAATAAATCATTTTCTGGCGATCATGGATGTCATCGAAAAAGATGAGCGCAAATTCAAGGCCTACAAGCGGCGATGGATTTATCTGATCGTTGTCATGATGATCAATTTCTCGAATGCGAATGTGAGTTCATTGAGCAATGTACTTTGTGTTCTCGGAAACGCACGCTTTCTGGCGCACTGGGTAGCTGATTCTCGACAAAAAATGCTTGTAAAACGGCTAAAGATAAATTGCGATCCAGTGCGCCAGAGGGGGTGCGGTTGAGAGAGCACAAAGTACGAGCCAGAATTTTTGTTGTCGTAGCCTCGGGAAAATTGCGGAGGAGACTGGGTGACGTCCAGCTTGTCCAATTTTAAAATCCAAATCTTTATTTGATGCCTGTAAGCCAAGAAAATCGCTCAAAGTCGAAAAAGCCGAGGAGCTGAGCAAAAAACGGGTGTTTCTATCGATAATTTGTTTTGAGGAATTGGCTGTGCGCTCCAGATCGCCCAATTTTAAAATCCAAATCTTCTTTCGATATCTGTAAGCCAAGAAAATCGCTCAAAGTTGAAAAAGCTGAGAAGCTGAGCACCTATGCTAGAAACCGAGCATTTTCTAGCAATACCGAACTTTCGTGCGCTCCAGTTCGCCCAATCCTCAAAGCTAAATGTTCATTTGAGTGCTGTGGGGAGATTAAGATGACTCAAGTCGGTAGAAGATTTCGCATTGCTTCAATCGGTGTTTTTTTTATTTGCCGGTGTGTGCTTTTGGCACAAATCGCGGGAGATCTCGAGAATGCAAAGAATTTTGCGATTTTGGAGTAAGATTTGTGGAGAAAAGGGGGGTGAAAAGAGTTCGAATCCGAGAAATTCTTGGAAAATTCGTCTTTCTGGCTTTAACTGAATATCTTGAATTTGGCCACTATAACTGAATATCTTTTACAGTACGATTTTCAATCTGGATGTCACAGGCGCTATCTAGATAGTTTTTGAGTATAAATATCAAGTTTTCGAGTTTCAAGTCTAGAAATCGAGACCGAGCGCTGGCCCGCTGCTGGGATGCTTTTGCAGGGCTGAAATTTATAGAGAAGCCAATCTGGAGCGCACACGATCGATTCGGAAAGCCAGAAAAGATAAATGACAACTTTTGAGTTAACTGAATATCTTGAAATTTGTTGACTGAATATCTCGCCTTTAGCTATATTAACTGAATATCTTTTACAGTAGGATTTTCGATCTGGATGTCACAGGCGCTATCTAGATAGTTATCAAATGTAAATATCGAGATTTGGCATTTTCGAAAAGAGCACCGTTTAGAAAAGAGCACCTTTTAAAAAAGAGCACCTTTTAGGAAACAGCCAAATTTTTAAAAATCAAAAATCTAATTGCTTTGAAATGACATGTGCGCTCCAGATTGTCGAAAAAAAAGTAAATGAAAGAAATTTGACAATCAGAAATTTGGAAAATTCAATGGAAAAGATTTTCATGAAATTTCATTGAATTTTGAGCTTTTTTTACATTCTTAACATTTCCACTTCCAGACGTGGATCAGCTTCTCTCCGGTGACTTTCGAGACGAAGAAATTCTATGATTACGCGAATGCTCCCCTCTTTTTCAACACGGTTTTTATGGTGTTGTCGATTCCGGTGGGCTTCCTCGCGTGCTGGTGGACCGATCGTTTCGGGATTCGCTCTTCGGTGAGTCAAAAAGTCGATGTAGGTATTTGGAAAAATCAAATTTTCATCAAAATCTGAAATCCTGGAACGCACGGGAATATCTAAAGCTGAAAAAACGAAATTATAATGAAAAAAAATCATGATAGCGACTTCTCAACGAAAAATTTGCATTTATGAAGTTAAAAATGAAATTTTGTATAAGAAAACGACAATCTGGAACGCACAACAGCGATTCAATCAGAAATATGCTAATTTGAGATGAAAATTTGAGATACAAATTGGAAAATTGACTAAAAATGGCCCTAGCAGCTTCATCAAATTTTCAGCAGGATTATTTTGAGCTCATTTTGATTTTAGATGACACTGTGTGCTGCCGGTTAGATAAAAACCCACAAAATGTTTGTCTTTTGGTGAATGGGGGTGATTGCCTGCATGCTCTAGCCTGCCTAAAATCGGTTTTTAAGTCGATTCTTGGGCTTGTTGCTTGTTACTAGCTTGTTACTAGCTTGGCCCTGAGCTCTATCGAGATCAAGATCCTGGATTGGCCTTGAATCGGTCTTGAATCGGTTTTGAATCGGTCTTGGATCGGCCTTGGATCGGTCTTGAATCGGTCTTGAATCAGACCCGAATCGGTCTCTTGAATCGGTCTTGAATCGGTCTTGAATCGGTCTTGGATCGGCTTTGAATCAGGTCCGGATCGGTCTCTTGAATCGGTCTTGAATCGATCTTGAATCAGTCTTGAATCGGCCTTGAGTCAGGCCCGAATCAAGCCAGAGGCAGTCTTGAATCGGCTTTGAATCGGTCTTGGATCGGCCTTGAATCAGAATCTTTAAAATCCCTTTTTTTGCAATCTCTCTTCAGATTTCCCTAAAATTTTCATCGAAAAATTGCTGTTGTTTTTGGTGTTTCAATCAGTTTTCAATCGTTTCAATTAGTGCTGGTTGGGTGCGGCGACGAATCTTGCTGGGAACATCGTCCGAATTCTCGGCTCAATGGAGAGTGTCGACAAGAAATGGGTGAGTTTAAGGGATTCAAGCAAGATAAACGCTCAAAATCTCAGCGTTTCCCAATCACATTCGCCGGCCAATGCGTCGCCGCCTTTGCGCAACCGTTTGTCATGTTTTTACCCACGAAGTTGTCCGCTTTTTGGTTCCCGGATGATCAGGTGGGGGAAATAGAAAAAATAGAAGGAAAATAGGAAAATTTTGATGGATATGTAAATCCTGGATGTCACAGCAGATTAGGAAATCAAATTTGGACTGTTTTAAGCGAAAACGGCCTTAGCAGGCCTGTCGGTAGCAAGATTGGCTCATTTTAGACAAAATTAGGATACAAAACTATGCAAATTTTGGCGTAGTTGTAAATCCTGGATGTCACAGTAGATAAAGAAAACAAATTTGGACTGTTTTAAGCGAAAACGGCCTTAGCAAGGCGTCGGTAGCAAGATTGGCTCATTTTAGACAAAATTAGGATACAAAAATATGCAAATTTTCGCGTAGTTGTAAATCCTGGATGTCACAGTAGATAAAGAAATAAAATTTGGACTATTTTAAGCGAAAACGGCCTTAGCAAGACGTCGGTAGCAAGATTGGCTAATTTCAGACAAAATTAGCATACAAAACCGTGCAAATTTTTGCGTAAATGTAAATCCTGGATGTCACAGTAGATTAGGAAATCAAAATTTCCAGCGAAACATCGCAAATACCCTAGCGAGTATGGCGAATCCGCTAGGAATTGCAGCCATGTACATGGCCGCCTCGCTTTTTGTCAACGAGCATCACCCGACGAGATTCCTTTTCATGGTAAAATCGTTTTTATCGACGGAATGGCCACATTTTCAGCTTTAGAACTCGGTTGTTGGCGGAGTGGCTGTGGTGGCGGGCGTGATGTCGTACGTTTTCTGTTTGAAGCCGTAGAGAGCTGAAAAAGAGAGATTTTTCAAATTAAACCCTTTTTCTCGACGATCTGGGACGCACTTTAGGAAACGCAAATTAAAGAAAAGCAAAAGAACGCTATTTTCAGATTAGCCGTGACGAGGAACGAGCCGCCGACGCCGGTTTCCGCCTCGAAAAACGACGTTCTACCTCCGCCACCATTTTTGGAGGTAATCCTGGAGGTCACTAGGAGCATTGGATCTATTTTTAAGTCCAAATCTATCAAATCGAAATCTATCGAAATCTCAAAATCGAATCTCGAATCTCGATTTTTCACTCTTTGAAAAATCATCTTTTCGACAATTTTTTTGAGCGTTTCAGATAGTGTGCGCTCCAGATCGATAGAATAACTGAGTAATTGCTCTAATTTCAATTGAAATCGGGGAAAAATCCGGGAGAAAAGCAAATTACCCAATGAGGAAGATAAAATCGATGAATTAACGATTTCTGTTTGACTCAAAACCAGTTGTGCGCTCCAGGATTGGATTTAGGAAAAAAAGGAAATTGATTCGAGAGAATTTGGGCCCAGTTTTCGTCGTGAACGCCCACCAATGATGTTCTCTGTGCGGCTGCGTAATCGTTCGTTGTCTGGGACACCGCCCGGGTATAGGGGAGGGACTGAGACCGTACCTTCTATTTTGGAAGGCCTGGACAGGGAAGCCTGGACTGGGAAGGACTGGGAAGGACTGGAGAAGCCGCGTCCCGTCGAAAACAGCGATCAGATCTTTAAGAGGGCGTTACACCAGTTAAGGAGAAAGCAGTGGTGGTCTAGGGGATAGTATGCTTGACTCCAAAGCCGATGCCATCCTGTCTCGCGGGTTCGATTCCGCTGGCCGCCAAATTTTTTCTTTTTTTCAAATTTTGTTTTTTAAATCCACCGGTAACCACTGTGCGTCCCAGATCACCGAAAAAGGGAAGTCAAGCCTTGTCTCACGAAGCGATTTCAGGGAGTCAAGCGTTGTCTCACCTCGAAACGTTTCATTATTCTCGCATGCAGTCTCGGCGGTGGAGTCGGTCTCTTCAACGCTTTGTACAACAATTTACAGCCAGCTCTATGCCTCAAGGTGAGTCAAAAATAGATACAGCTACAGGATTACGGTAGCAGGATTACGGTAGCAGGATTACGGTAGCCTTTTAAAGTACCGTAAATACTGTAATAGTACCTCACCGCCCTCGTACAGTCGCGTAGTCGCAAAAGTCGCAAAACTGCAAAACGCAAACGTTTTTTAGTGTTTAATTTTTTCAAAGCGCCCGTACTTTCAAAAAACGCGTCTTTGGTATCAAAAAAAAGCCCTGAATTTCAGCTATTTTTTGATATTCAAACGAACACTGTAGCATAAACCAATGTCGAGAAAAACTCGTTCAAAGCTAGACTACGCAACGCTTCGCATCGTGATTATGCGAATTATGTATTCAGTCGATATAGAGTATTCCGTCTAGATTAGGGTATTCAGTCTAGCCTATCTGGATTACGGTATTCAATCTAGAATAGTAGATTCAATCTAGAATCGCTAGATTAGGGCATTCAGTCGATATGGAGTAGTCAGTCTAGATTAGAGTATTCAGTTTAGACGTCTAGATGTCTAGACGTCTAGTCTAGATGTCTAGACGTCTAGTCTAGATGTCTAGACGTGGAAACGGTACTATTACAGTATTTACGATAACCGCTGTGCATGCTAGATCGGGTATTTTTATAAGATAAGCTATTATTATAACCAATCTATTATTAGAGCCAGTCTATTCTTATAACCAATCTATTTTCCTTCAGGGCTACTCAGAGACATTCTCCGGTGGAATGGGCTCATTGTTGATCGTCTCGGGGCTGGTGGGCGCGGCGATTAGTGGCATTATCGTTGACAAGACGGGAATGTTCGAACAAGTGATGAAGGTTGGCGATTTGAGAACAATTTGAGAAAAGAAAAACAAGAATTGGAAGTGATTTGAGTGATTGGAGTGATTGGAAAATGTTTGAAGAAGGATTTCAGATCTCTTTTGCTTTGGCCGGAATCGCTGGCAGCAGTCTATCGATCTCGATCAATTATGAGGTTTGAAATTGCAAGGTTAACGCGAAATTTTCTTCTATTTACTCTTCGTGACTTCCAGAAAGGCTTCACAAGCTTAAACTTTCGTTAAATCGTTGATAGTTAGCTTGCAATTTGTCTTGTTCTTTTTCAAAGCTTGCTCAGGTGTGCGAACTGTTGTTGAACTTGTTGAACTTGTTGAACTTGTTCTTCAACTTGTTCAGGTGCACGAAAATGGGTTTAGAACCGAAGTAAGCTTTACCATTTGATCGAGAATCCAAAAGAACTCTGGTTTTTGTTTTTCTGTGTTAAAGAATTGTAAATTACATCAACAGCAAGAGCCAGTTTTTGTCGTGAATTTTTTGAGCGTTTCAGATGGTGTGCGCTCCAGATCGATAAAATAATTGGGTAATTGCTCTAATTTCAAT